TGGCATTGTTATTGATGACGATTAAGTTTTGTGTATCATTCATGTACGCAGAGATCTGCATCACATTGTGGCCGCAACAGTTAATAAGGGTTTTGGCATCACCTGGCCGGGTGTAATGTCTCTGTGGCATGACTTCATGCTGGAGGCACAGGGGGATGAATTAATGTCAAGTTGAGCCTAGCACATGAGGAAGCAGTGGAAAGTAAGGTAACGCTTTACTGTAATAATATGGGTAATCTGTTATTAGATTACTGTAATGTAGCACTTAACGGTTGTTTACTTTTATGGTTCATTTTATTGTATGACTGCAATGTTCATTAAATGGTTAAAATAATATTCGTTTTTAAAGAGGTCCGTTATTGCCCCATCAGGATGAGTTGATGCAAGGACAGAAGTCGCTAGTGCATGTTGAGCAGTGGCAGGACAGTACTTTGATTAATGAGGTTAAATATAAATATGTTCAATATAAGTTAAGTCGACCTATGTTATTTTGGAGGAGGTAATCCGTTTATGATATTTCATGATACAAATTAAGAGATTTTGTTGAAACCTCCAGTAAACGCTTATCAGAGAGTGCTTGTAACCCAGTAATGTGCACAAGAATTGGGCACACACACATTCACAAAGACACGGACAAAGATCCCCTTCATAGCCTTTAACAAAATGTTGGGGAAAGTGCTGTTAGCGAGCAACGATGAAATCTGGCAGGATGCAAAAGGTGGTGGGTGGCCAAAACCACGCCTGACCACCTTTGTCTCCCAAGTGGTGATATTTACACGCCATACCAGGCTACTAATTTATGGCTGAGTCAACCTAGGGGAGGCCCAGGACAGGTTCAAATATTCATCAGTGATATTGGTCTTGAGCGGGAATCAAACTCGGGTAGTACACTAACCACCACTATTATTCCCCACACACACATACCCGCACGTTAACAAGCCTGGTGATTATCACCGTGCATTCCAAGTTGCACACGTGCACTTACAAAGACATTCCAGACATGAGCACCAACTGTGCATTAGCACCCTATTAACAAATGGTTTATTTAGTATCTGATTTTCTCCCAATTTCATTCAACTGGGAGAAAAGCATGTAATTAGATGAAGATATTTTCATTCGGCCCTTGAAATGGGGACGCCTTGGAAGTTGGCATCGCAGAACTGCTTCAGAAGTTCTTTCAGTAGCTTCTTGCTCACGATAGTACACATTTTAAAAACTGATTTTACAAAGGTAGTCTGCCCCAAGAAATTCATTTTTTTATTGCAACCACACATTGCAAATGTCTAAAGCGATTCTAATATGTATGGAGTGTAATATTTTAGATATTTATCTATTGTTTCATAACATATGGATTCATCTTCTTGGTTCTTTCGGTAAAGTCACGTAGAAGGGAAATAATAAATAATAAAAATAAAACCTAATAAAATAATTCTCACGACGTTTCGGCCACAACGCAAGCAGCCGTCCTGTTCTTCACCTGAGGACGGCTGCTTGCGTTGTGGCCGAAACGTCGTGAGAATTATTTTATTATGTTTTATTTTTATTATTTTATTATTTCCCTTCTACGTGAATTTACCGAAAGAACCAAGAAGATGAATCCCTGCAGTCACGAAAGCTTTAAATCAAAACATATGGATTATTTATGGAATGTGTTGAGGCTTTGTTTGACACGTGCGTGAAACTGCCATCATCATCTTAGCTTGGATGAAAAAGTTATTTTATTGTGAGTACATATGACACTGTGCTACTCACAAGCGTTTATCCATTAATAACAATGGGGGACAAATGTCAGTATTTTCATCTGAGTTACAGTCCTAAGTAGTTGATATTTGTTGATATATTATACCCAAAAAAAAATCCACTTCATGATTTATACAAATTATTGCCCAAAATGTTTCAATTGTCAGGAAAAGTACCGTCTAAATTCTTGGAAATGTGCCTCCGTGCTAAATCAAGTGAAAACCTACATTTTAATTGGATGACTTTATTTTCGCAGTTTTATTGGTGACCGGGTTAAACCCATCAATGCGATTTAATAATGAACGGCTGAGACCCAGATTAAAACTCAGCAGTGCCAGCTTAGTGCTCTGATTTGGCACTATCCCCCTGAGCCACCCATCCACTTCCAAGCAACGTACTCACTCAGCGCTTGCTTGATGATTTCTGATGATGGTGCCTGTTTTCATTTTAGCTTGCAGCATTTGCCCTGAACTACTATTGATTTCCTGCTGTGCCATACTGGATGCTTTGCTCGAACAAAAAAAAAGTATTACATTAAACACGTTATTCTGTTTTCAGACTAGGTGTATTTATTTTTAATGTGCGTGACTTGTCGAGATGTAAGCATAATGCAAAATTAAGAGTTGATATGCTGACTCTGGGTCAATTTGGCTCCATCATCATCACCCTCATCAGCAGCTTTCTCTGGCATTGGTAAAGTCAGCACCACCTGGTGAGACAGCGATTCTAGGGATAGACTGATCCTTGCCAAAATAATGTGGAATGTATGTTGTGTGTTTTCTGTTTTGTTATTTTAAGCGAAGGTGCGAGACCGTGTAATTTGAGTGAATATTGTCATGTAAATTAGGAATCGTGACATATGCCTAATGCAAAGGTCGTAGTTCTTACACCATCAATTCCATCTTCCACATCCACAGTTCATCTCACAATCCCACACAAAGACAGAGATCCCCAGCATAGCCTTAACAAACCGCACCAGGTCCTAATTTCAGGCCGAATTGACCTAGAGGAGGACCAGGACTGGTTCAGATAATCCTCACTGGTGTTGCCTGTGAGTGGGAATCGAATCCGTATCGCTGGCTTCATAGCCCGGTGCGCTAACCGCTGCACTACCGTTGCTCACACACACATCTGCTATTCCGCCAGGCCCACGTGTTTTTCTGAAGAGCACACGCAGCTCTTTGCGTTGTCGTGATCCGAGGGCCACTCGGTTGCATTCCTCCGCACGTTTCTGTTGAGTGCATGCGCGCGCGCGTGTGTGTACAGGGGGAGCGCACCGATAATCAGAGGAGCGTCTGAAAATGATCACTGCAGCCCTCGTATTGACGCGCGGCGCGATGAATAATTGAAGCGGAGTACTTTGTACTCTACTGGGAACTCGGCGTTGGCCTCTGGTTGTTTTGCAACAAACTGGTGAGATGGGGAGCAGCGATGGCTCATTGTGCTGCGCTCGGATGTTCTCATCGATTTCATACAACATTAAATAAGAGCAGGCTGCACGTGCCCTCTAATGAAACGGCTGCATCTCCAGTGTGGTGCAGTGCGAGTCGCCGGCGTTTATTATCCGTTGTTACTGACGCCGACGGCGCGAACGTGGGTGATCGAAGTAAAATTAACAGAAAAAGGTTACGTGTTTGCACCACTGTGGTGCGGTATAGCACACGCATGTGTGTTGATCAAATGGGATTCTAGTCGGCGTTTGGTACCAAGTTCAGCACTTAATAGCGTGTGCACGTGCTACTGAAACTGGAATCCAGTCAGTGGCAAGTGACAGGAGGCACATTTGTTGTGAATGCCACTCCAAGTCCGAGTGCCGGAACGGATATAAGAAGTTCGCCCTTCTCTCAAAGTCTCCATTTTGCCGTCTCCCTGGGCAGCCTCTCCCGAGCAAGTACAACACCGCTAAAGTTACCCATCGCACATTTCCAGGCCATGAATAAGTGATGGTGTGTGCCACGAAACACAATGTCTCTGCCATCCTCTCAATTATGCTGAAGGTACTGGGAGGAAGGGACGACCTGCTCTGAGAATGGCAGTGTGCATCGGTAGGCACGGTGAAAGTGACTCCGTCAACACCACGCGCGGCAAAACCTTCGACGCTCAGAAGCCGTTCTCACACGAAAAACACAACAACCATCTCTTAAATGTTTAATTCGACACGAGTGCTATTTTAAAATGAGATAACGGGCTTCAGTTTACTGCCATGCTCAAGCTCGGTGTGAACATGCAGATCATATTTGTTGGTGATCGGAACATATTTTCCAAAGTCGACGGATTTCCAATGCGACAGGCGGGGACTTCGTGTTTGGTACGGTGGGGGACGTGAACTAAAAATCTAATTATAAAATGACACGACTGAGCGGGAACCTTGTTGGAAAGACATTGATGGGTTGAGCATTCGTTTGGGCTGATTGTGCTATTTCCATATTAATATGAAGCGGATGGACCCTGTGGCTGACTCAAATCAACAGATTGTGAATTCAAATCCCAATTAAGTATCGACTTATGCTCTTATCCCTCGGCTTGAGCAGGGAAACGCTCGAACTTTTTGTTTACTTTTGACACTGATTGTCACGTAGACCGATTTACCTCTCGTCACCGTCATCATTCACCAATAGAGTCACCAGCAACTCTCGTGGGTGACAACGATGTGCGATATACACATGGACTTGTTGATGGGCCAGTCAACAACGACAGCGATATGCCACAACGCCACGCACCTCGCCATGCACTCCTTCCGTTATGAAGGGACACCACAGACAGTGACATTGATATGTGTGCACCAGTCGTGGTCTGTTGAGACCTGTGATTGCTGAACTTGGTAGCTCTTAGAGATCATCTAAAATAAGGTGGCAGGGCAAGGCCCTTTAGTTGTTATGGTGTTTCTCTGGCTCTGGAAATATATTTCAAGTCATATCAGGAATGATGGCAAAGTTAAATAAATAAAATGAGTCAACTTATTTTTTGCTTGTATTATCAGGTCAATTAGTTTTTCAGTGATGACATCACTCACATCCTACATATGTGTTCTGTGACATCACCACCGCGCGCCAGCAAGCCAGGCAGGCAGGCCACCAGCCAGCCAACCAGCCAGCAAAATAAAATAAAATAAATTGTATGAAGTGCCCTATGCAGCTCTGCATGAGGAGCACGCTGTACAGTATAACAATCGAGATCCTCTTGCGCTGCATCGTACACCGCCGTCCACCTTCAACTCTTCTACCTTTCCCCATCGTCCCCCGTCTGTTGCCCCACTGCAGGGCCGTGTGGCAGCGTGGCGGAGACGCGGCAGTGCGTTTACTACAACGGCTCGCTGGGCTGGGACGGGGAGGCGGCCGTGGCCTCAGAGCTATGTGATGGCGAGCGGGACAAGCGCCAGCACTGCTACGCCACCTGGCGCAACTCCTCCGGCACCGTGCGGCTGGAGCGCCGCGGCTGTTGGCTCGACGACTTCAACTGCTACGACCGGTGACTGCCCCCCTCCCTTCTCCCCCACCCCCATGCGACCCACTCTCTCTATCGCCCCGTCACCTCGTCATGTTAACACTTTACCGCTTCGATGACGTACGCGTACATCATCAGTTTTTCTTTCAATTCCGTTCTGTTGACGTACGAAAATAAAATAACTTTGGCACAGTTTGGCGCCAGCTGTCATAGAGTGTGGTCGTGTCGCTACCGTTCCCTGCTGTGAGTAAAATGTCTTTTAAATACAACGTCGCTATGCCTCTCAAAAACTCCCGCTGAACCGCTTGCGCGTTCCGTGATTCAGCAGTGAACGGGACCCACCCAGTAACTTGCAGTTGTCTCGGAGCGGGAAAATGGTTAATTGAAATTCGCGCTCGCTATGTCATGTGGAACGTGTTTAGCAATCGGCATTCCCTGCACCCTCCCCCTGGGGGTTGCAAGTTAAGAGCCAAGTGTGTTGCGACTCACAACAGGTGTGGTTGGCAATATAAGCCAAGGGTAGCAATTCCACATTCCCGCTACGTACGGTGTGAAAAAAGTTCAACACACGGAAAACACATACAGGAACCGTTACTGTTGAAAGTTTCACAAAGCGAAAAAGCATTTGTGTTTATCCGGAATGAAACGATGCGAGTGTTGGTAAGCGCTCTGTGCTGAGAGATCCCGGCAATCTGGGTTCAATTCCCAGCCGTGCACATCCGCAGTGGCGGTGTGGTGTTTGAAACTGTCCTAAGTAATTGGCGCGATTTCTGCGGAGAACCACCAGGGAGGCAGATATGTCTGGGCATGATAGTGGCCACAACTACACCCTCGTGTGCCCGCGGCTCAGCGAGGCACCGCCGTCTTGTGTGTGGGCGTGCGCGTGTCCCTAGGACGGAGTGTGTGGAGACCACCGAAAACCCGATGGTGTTTTTCTGTTGCTGCAACGGAGATTTCTGCAATGGAAACTTCAAGTACCAGCCCTCGTTTCAGCTCCCCATTGAAGGTAATGCCATGCGTGCGATAACTTCACGATGCCAAAGCCCAACGTTTACGTTTCGGAATAGAGGTTTCTCTCCTCTTGCGTAATAGGTTCCTCAAATGTTTGTCGAGCAAAGGGTCAATTTATCTTTGCGTGTGGTTACAATGTAGCCATTGTAATTGCTGAACACGTCTATTTATTTATTGAGCTCCCTGAAGCGACTTTAACACCGAAGTCTCCTGCGAACACCGAAGTTCGCAGTTCGAATCGGGCAGGCCACTGCGGTGCGTATGAGCTGTAAAAAGACACGCCATCTGCTTCACGGTGGACGTTAAAGATCCATGTGACGTCGTTCCAAATAAGTAGGCCACTGTGTGCTGGATTCATGGTCCAAATCTGCCGAATTTGACAAATGGCCTTTCAAATTACTCAGTCAGGTTTGCACACGGCAACATCGCTTCGTGAAACGCAGCACCTTCCTTCGTGATAGCATTGCACGATAAGAACAATCTCACCATTACCAAATTTACTAAGTTATTATTGTTACAGCTGTCTCGAAAGCACATTGTGGGTGTGCAATGGAGTAAGTGGCCCCCTTCAGTTGAAATGTGAAATTTGTAATGCTGACACGGGGCCCCCCTAGGGAGATGAGCATTATCCATTGCTCTTTGTAGTGTGGAGACACTGACATTTGATGCGTGGCGATGTATTCATAGTCGTAGTCATCGCTCTCCAGGCTTTTTACAATGTGCTCGTGCCGTCGAACCCCACTTGCGAGTTGGACACCATTGATCCGACGGAGTTACACCGTGCCACACGCTGTGCAATACAACCGCCGCTGTCCCCCCTCGCTGTCACGCGTGCGTGCTTTACAGCAAATGTTACTGGAGAGTAAAATTTGCACGGGAGGGGCGCGGAAGGACCCCCGTTCAATTCGAATCGAGCCAGCGCGCATGCCATTTAGAGCATAAGTGGCGATCGCTTTCTCCGAATTTTGCGTACAAGCAACGAAACCCCCCGAGCCGAACGTTGTTGAAATGTTCACGTCGAATGTGCCAGCCCTGTTGTTGAATGCGTTTTGAAACTGTTTCAGATGTACTTGTCAGTCGTTGCACTTTTTTTCCCCCAGTAACTTTGCCCAAAATACAAGAAGAATTTTTTTACAGAGAGCATTATATTGATGTGTACAATACACGGTTGCAGTTCATCGGTTTCAGAAGTATTCATGTTAGACGTTTGGAAGGTTTAGTATCGTATTGCTTCGTGGATCATCGTCCCAGTTGTATTGCTGCTGTGTTTCACATGTTCGACAGGTTGACGCTGTGGTAAGAGCACTTGACTCATGGTTGGAAAGGTCCAGGAGTTGTAGTCCCCCAAGGCATCGACTTTACTCCATCGTTTTTCAGGGGTCGATGAATTAAATAACACTCTGTGGGCAAATAAATCACGGTTGCCATCGTCGTCATCATGAACAAACTTACGCCCACCATTGGAATGTGGAATTTCCACAACTGGCTATGAAAATGAGCAGAAATTGTTGCTCCATTTGCATGAAACGTATCGCGTGAAGTTCTCGTGATTTGATTGTGAATGCTCAACTGTAATTTTCAGGGCGTGGGGGTGTCCTTTCCAGTTCACAAAAAAAAAAACTGAAGCACGACTCTTTTTCCCTTGGGTAGAATGGGGTGCCACGGCGGCGAGATGTTAACTACCTCGCCTGGTATACCGGAGGTCATGGGTTTGATCCTGATGCTTGTGCATGTGGAGTGTGCATGTTCTCCCCGTGCTTGAGTGGATTTTCCTGGGGGACCTCTTGTTTTTTTTCCCACCATATTTATAATCATGCGTTTAGATCAGGGGTCCCCAACCCTCGGGCCGCGGACCGGTACCGGTCTGTGGCCTGTTAGGAACCGGGCCGCACAGCAAGAGGTGAGCGGCGAGCCCGTGCGTGGCCCGCCCATTATTTTATTATTTACCACTTCCGTCCGCACCTTTTCCCGCACTGCGCACTTGGCTCAGTCACAGTGTTGGTAAGCCCACGAGCTAACCCCTAGTAGCCAGAATTAGTAAAAAAACAAACGTCGCTGGAGAGCTTCTTTGAAAAGGGGGAAAGACCCAATGATGACCCCCCCCCCGCCCAGTCCGTGAAAAAATTGTCTTCCACGAAACCGGTCCCTGGTGCCAAAAAGGTTGGGGACCGCTGGTTTAGAGTATTTGGCTGTTATAAATTTCCACACGATGACAAACCACTTAGTTGAGCTATAATTTATGGCCAGATCGCTTCTGAAAAATAGCTTTATCGCTAAATGGGCCTTACCTGGCAAAATAAAAATTGTTTAGTTTTAGTTTAGCATATACAAATCCTGGGCAACTCTGTGACCCCGAGCTCCCACAAATCCATTACGGGAAATAATTGATGGCATTAATAGACCTCTGCCAAGCTGAACGTATCTAAGCACATCCACAGTAACCAGTGCTGTGTGAATATACAATTTGTGAAATAAGGTTACTGTTTTGTTCTTCACTAAATTATCCATACTGAAGGGTTATTGAGCATTCAACTCTAAGTCGTTTCCTTATTTAATGTAGCACGGGACATTTGTCGTATTCATTGAGGCAGAAGTGTTCGTGAGGTCCTTGTGAGAGGCTGGTGATGCTGGCCACCGGCCCTTCCCTGTCCGAATCATGCGCCGGGCTGCACAGTGACCTCTTTGTTTGTTTTCGCTCTCTGACTCATGCATGTGTCATTAATAGCGCCTTCTTCTTGGTTCTTTCGGTAAAGTCACGTAGAAGGGAAGTAATAAGTTATTATGTTTTATTTTTATTATTTTATTACTTCCCTTCTACGTGACTTTACCGAAAGAACCAAGAAGATGAATCCCTGCAGTCACGAAAGCTTTAAATCGAAATTTAATAGCGCCTTCTTTATCTTTGGCTTTTCCATTGGACATTGGTGACCTGTGTTTATTCCCGGTCTAGGCCATGCTTGTTTACGCGACTGCAGTTTTGCTGGGGCAAAAAGGTGGGTCGGGGGAGGATAGAGCATGCTCTGTGGGTCTTTCGGTAAAGTCACGTAGATAGAAAAATTATAATAATAATAATAATCACGACGTTTCGATCGCAACACAAGCAATCGTCTTCAGGTGAAAAAATACGGCAGTCCGCCTAAAGATATATTTTATTATATTATTTTATTTTTCTATCTACGTGACTTTACCGAAAGACCCAAAGAGTATGAATTCCTGCAGTCACGAAAAAAAGTCAGGATAATTCATAACTGATAAAATATCTGCTTCATGACATGTGAGGTTTGGAATGGATGTAGGGTTGATGAATCATGTTAAGATAATGTGTGTGCGCTTCCAACTCGCTGGGGGTAACAGTGTCTATAAGGGGTGGTACATGGAAGAGGTTCGTTAACATTTCTGAGTGAAGTTACAGTGAGGGAAAAAAGTATTTCATCCCCTGCTGATTTTGTACGTTTGCCCACTGACAAAGAAATGACCAGTCTATAAGTTTAATGGTAGGTTTATTTGAACAGTGAGAGACAGAATAACAACAAAATCCAGTGGTTGCCCTTTGGACAGACTGGTCCCTGCCACTGGACTGTGGAATTTCCAATGCGAGCGCAACGTCCGCCAACAGAGATGAATGCCACCCAACGCTTGTTTGACTACGGAGGGACCCAAGATGATGACTTGATGAAGCTGGTTGCTGTCGACGCTTGGACACGGCGCGTGCCGCATTGTAGACTCCGCAAGGAGTGACTAACCCCATATCTGCATTTGTCATCAATATGCTAAATTCCTCTGTTTATATGTAAACTCCTTTGTCAAAGCTCTCTCCTCCTCCCACCCAGCTTAAAATACGCTGCTAAGCTTAGCAGTGTTCATTAAGACGCTGTCTTTCCGACAGCTCTTTTTCTTCACCGGAGGGTGGCTGCTTGCGTTGTGGCCGAAACGGCATGAGAATTGTATTATATAAAACATTTATTATTTTATTATTTCCCTTCTACGTGACTTTACCGAAAGAACCAAGAATATGATTCCCTGCAGTCACGAAAGCTTTAAATCGAAATTGCAGACTCTTATCGTCGCATGGGTGGCAGCGGGAAACAAAATGAAGCTTGGGTTTTTTGAGGCTTTGGTAGCAGAGGGGGCCACTTCCAGGCTTGCGGTGGAACACACAGCAGCACTGCAGAACGTTATGGTCAAGAGCCGTTGTTATCAACAGTCACCGTCTCCATGCTTCTATTGTCCTGGATAAAGCCCGGTGTCCTCTTGCAAAATCGGCGATGAAGGTCTGTAGAGATGGAAGATTACTCTGGAAGCTGCTAATTTTTCTACTAAGTCCCGTTGGCAGGGTTAATACATTCACCCGAAGAAAGTTGGCGTGCATGACCTCACGTGAGCTTTTGGGCAATACTCATCTTCATCGGTTGGCCTGAGCCACTGGTGGCAATTCCATGTTCCTATGACAGGGACTATTTTCCACAAGGCAACCAAAACTGACTTCCTGCCAGGTTGTGTAGCTTTACCAGGCATCGGCAGTTTAACGAGACCGATTAATGAGGATGATTTTGGTGATGGGCTCGGTGAACCCTGGGCGGGATGTGAACTTGATGAGCTCACGATTGGGAGCCTTGCCGTTACACCATCTGTGTGCTACATCACAACCATGAAATTGTGACGATCGCACTCGTACTGTTGAGTGCTTTTGTCGTCACCATCATTATCTTTTACATCACCTTATCAGAACATCCATTTTGTGTATTTCTGCTTTAATCAGTGTGCGTAGCAGTGGTCATCGCAGCTGGAAGCGCTGCCCGCCAGTGGTGGAAATTCCACATTCCTTGGTGGTGGCCAGTCCCTCTACAAACAAAACCGATATTAGTTCCTGCAAGGTGGCACTCATTTTCTCGACAACGGAAGGTTTAATTAATTGAGTCAACCAGGTGTTTGAACTCGTGAACTTTTGACCGCAGCGCCAATTGTACGTGCGTATGTTTAACTTATTTCGCACCGTACATCGCCAGTTATGCTCATCGGAGGTGCTATTAGTTAGTGAATATGGTTAGACCCCGATTTACATTCTCCCCCCTTTTTACGTCATTTTACAAATACGTCGTCACTTGGTTAATACCGTGACCTGATGTTCCTCACCTCAAGCTACACTCACGTGGCTGACGGCATCTTCCGTGCTTTTTCGTATCTGTCACCTCGGCATTCGCCTCCACCTACCCAGTAAATCGCTTTGCTTTACGTCGTATAAGAAATGCGTCGTCGCACCTTTCAGGAGCTTTTGACACAACGATGACACTATCTATTTGGGTTCATAGCGCCCTCCTCTGGACAAAGAACCATCTCGAAGCGCCACCTGTCTGCCGAGGACCACCACGATTATCGTCCTGCGATTATTCGCACGTCCACGTGGTGCGAGTGTGTGAACACACTCCCACCACGTCCACGTGGTGCGAGTGTGTGAACACACTCCCAGAGTTCTTTTCCCATTCCCCAAAACCTCCTTTCAAATCGGACAACCGGCTGCGATCCCGTACAGATTAACACAGCAGGATGCCACACAGAAGCAGCACCTGGCAGAAACGTTTGGTGTTTTTTACTCCCCCCCCACCACCACATTCGCGTACGTTGCATTTGCAGCATCGTACGCGAATGTACATTATCAACATATCGGCTATTGAAAGGTACCGTATCGGTCACACAGTCAAAGCACGTTGGAAGTTAGGATTGGTGGATCGCGTAGACTTGTGGAACTCCCCACATACCTGCCGGGCTGCATGGGGTGTGCGAGGAGACGGCCCGTACGAAGACATGCCGCGTGATCGACACTTAACGTTAGGATCGCGCGGTACGTCCCGATTGCTTCAGAGCCCTCGTTGTAGCCTTTGTTTAATATGGAGATGAACCAAGCGCATTGAGACGCGTGAAACAGCCGAGATTGGCTGTGGGTTCTCCAGTCTTATTTGTTTAAACAAGGTGATCTCAGGACCAATGTTTACTTATCTGAGTGCCATCAGCAGGGTGGAGTGTAAATTAAAAGTGCAGTACTGAAATATCTGTCGATTGTGTTGATGTGATTTGGGAATGTCAACCGGGTCTAGAGTTTGCCTTTTTTAGTAAATCCTGGAAAATAATGGTCGAGGAGGCCCATTTAGTCATGAAATACATTTGATTTTGTTTCACTGATGAAATGGGTAGCTTTCCTCTTGAGTTCATGCATGTAAATTAACTTTGATTTGTGTGGTGTTTAGTAGTGCCAATGGAAATTACGTTATTTATTATCCAAGAAAGAATTCTGTGAGTCCCATGGTACTTTTAAAGGAGGGGTTTTTTCTCACCCTGTTCAAACAATTCCTCATAGGGTTGTTTTTTTGTTGCACAGAGGAAAACGAGAGTTACATGATTGACCATAGCACCTGGACTCTTTATGGGATGACTGCCAACCGTAAATTGAACTCAAAGCCTTCCGGCCCATGGGTGCGTGGTGCTCTGACCACTGCACCACAACCGACACTGGCTGTCAGACTGTAACCTATTGCTCGTCATAGAAATGTAGAATTGGCATCGGTTACTAAGTCGGCAGCAGTGTTGAGCCACCTTCTCGTGCTCCTTGGCGCTGGGTAAAACCGACGAGTTTCTTTAACCCTTGACATTTTATCGCTGCAGTAATTGCATAAGATTTATGTGTTTCATTGTCACAGTTATCCTCTGGTGGAGATAGCCGGGCCGTTTACGCCAGCGGTATCTCGTAAGTGTCTGGGAAGGTATATTCTAGTGCCCTTAATTCTGTGTTGATTCCACGTTAACATTAGAGGTTAACTGGGATGTAAAAAACCCTAATAATTTTCACCGTTTAATTGCCCTGTAACATCGATTTCGTAATTACATTTTATTGCGTCATTTGGTGATTAACCTAAACTGTCCGTTAAAATGAAATCCGAATACGGAAATGTATCCAGAACTACCCTCTCTATTGAATTAGCCGAGCCAAGCTACATTTTATGTTACAATTTTCTTTGCCTTCATGAGGATAAAACATTATTCCCATCACAGACTCACGAGGAATTACCACCAAAATATGAACAATGCCACCAAACTGCGGTTGAAAAATACGTGGCGGGTTTCCCCCCCCCCCCCCCCTTCATGTACAGAGGCCAAAATCTGTGAAGGAAAAAAACACATGATGAGTGACGGACACTGGGACTGCTGCAAACTAACCACAGACTTCCGCCCCCGAGTTTCAGGGAGACCCAACATGCAATGCCGTATTTATTTTGGATCAAATGGAGCCTACAAATTTCTGATCATATGTCCACTCAGTAAACATCAAACATCAAACCTGACCGAGTGAAACTAGACTCAAGCGAATATAGTGGCTCTGTTCCCGCAATCTGTTTCCATCGGCAGTCGTCGGCATGCTCCCAAGTTTGACATATTCTCCCCTTGCCCAGCACTAAGAATCGACTCAACCGAGATGTTAACAGGAGCTTGCCCTGCGGGGCGTAAACACGTGTCAGTTCTGCATCACATCCAAGCATGTGACCAACCCCACGAGAAACCTTCATTGATGTTTATTTGTGGGATTTGATGCGCAAATGTTTAACAGAACTCCTTACTAGAGTGTTAAGTTTAATAACAACACTTTTTTTTCATCACATCCAGCAGTTCAGGGGGGGGGGGGGTGGCGTTTTAATGAACCAACTTGCCTGGCTTAGGAATAGAGTCACGGCCTCTATTCCTGGACACATCATGGGAAGAGGAGTTATCACACAATTCCAGAAGAGGGGAGAGCAATCTGTAAATAAACTGTCTTGAGCGGTGTATTGTTATGAAACTGACAATAACTGGGACTTGTCATCTCCCGAGAAGACTTACAGATTTCCCAGAGCAGCTACATCATCAAACACACGACGATCATGGGAAAACTAGGAGAGATGGCAGCCCAACTGTCAAACATTGCAGCAGGGTCACCGCATGACCACTCGGCCGGCATGACGGCATGTCGAGTGGATTTTCGTGTTTTCAGATGCGTACGCTCACACCGTTTATACTGCTCAGAGCCGCAACGCATAGCCGCCCTTGAGCCTGGCGCCCCCCTCCCATCCTCAGGCCTGGCGTCCAGGCTGAGGCCAGAAGAAATGGTGCGATGTGACTTGCACTTGTGCTCAGAGTGCTCAGTGATCCACCTATTAATCTATTAGCCACTTACTTGTTAAAATGTCTCATCGTCATTCCAGGGTTGATGCAATTCACACAACTGCAGCGGTAGTTGTCCTATTATTATAGGGCGACTGCTCCCCTCAATTGGAACGTGGTATTTTAACACTACCTCATTCATGCTCAACTCAGCAGGAAGATGCTTGGGCTCCTAAGCACATTTGCTCTGTGATGCGTTTTCAGGTTGTACCTTGCATTGTTGAACATGATGTCCGACGTTTTGCTCCACATGCTGGTGGCTTCTGCAGGAACTGAACACCCATCGGAGAGCCAGACAGAACAACTGAAAAAAAAACTACTCTTTTCCCTTTTGTGTGGATAACTCCCCACCCCCGATGATCCATCTCCAACAATGTCCCATTGCCCGAAGCGTCGCCTGTTATATATTGAATCCTGTTAAGGCCACAGAGTTATCGATGGCTGTGAGTTTTCTGTTAATTGCGCTTGTGCATCCCACTGTCAGCGCAGCACCAGTAATATCACCAAATAATTGACGATATTATTATTGCAATTGCGTTGTTTCATGCTGCCGCCGCTGCTGCTGCTGTACCGTTGCGGTGAACATTACAGCACATTGCGCCTGGGCGCTTTGCTGTCTCCAGATTCCAAGAAGCCTCCGGAGCCGCCCCCGCTGGGCAACGTGCTGCTCTACAGCATGGTGCCGCTGCTGGGCGTCTCCCTGCTGCTGCTGCTCGCGTTCTGGCTCTACCGCCACCACGGGCTGCCCTACGCCCACCACGAGGTGCCCACGCAGGAGGTGGGCACGCACGGCACAACCCCCTGGGGCTTGCGCCGCGCCCACGTGCGCGCCTGGTGGGGGCAACCGATGGGCGTGTCCACCTCTCTTGAGATACAACAACAACAAACGGAGAGATAATCATGGGAAGAGGAATCTATCGCAGCAGCGTACCAGTTTTACCGACGCAGAATATCTCGCAGTTCCAGTAGAGGGAGAATACGTGTAAATGCATCGTATTGAGGAGAATATTGTTACGTAGCTGTCAAAAAACAACAACTTTTTACTGCGCCAGGAAAAGACTTGCAGATTTCCCAGGGTTATCGACCTCTAAAGAGAAACCAGGACGGATGGCAACCCGAGTAACTGAATGGGGGGGGGGGGGGGGGCTCCTCATTGCCTCTGTGCTTCCACTGCACAGGTGGTGGAATTGAATGTTGAGAATGAGAAGACCCATGTGCATTCATGCGCCCGTGTTGATGGGCTGTTGTTGCCAGGCTGGTTTTCCTTGAAAGCTGCAACTGGAATGTGTGCGTGATTATGCAGGCGTGTGCGTGCACGTGCGCGTGCTTGTGTGTGGTTGAGGGCAGCAATGTCTTCGTGGATAGTACGCTGTGTCGCGAACCCGGTGACCTGGCTTCAATTCCCTGCCACAGCTAACATAAGTGGCAATTGGTATATGAACCAGCCCTTGGCCTCCCTTAGGTCAACACAGCCTTAAACGAGTACCTGGTGCATTGTGGAAACGTCAGCGCCGGTGCTGATAAAACCAAGTGCTCGTGCGCCGTAACTGGCCTTCATAGATGCTCACTAACGGCTCAGACAGTCTGTTTACAGTTTAACACATAGGCCTTTGTGACCAATATTATCCATGATACAGGTTTGTTATGTTAAATCGCGTAAATATATAAATGTGTCGTTGAACCCGCCACCACTCGACACAGCCAATTAGTAAGGGTTGTCACGTTAACAGAATTCGTTACAGCACTAACCAGTGTGTTGGAGAGCAAAGCCATTGCGAGTGGCGGCCTTGTATTTTGTGCACTGTATTATGATCCTGGTGAGCTGAGTTTAATACTCAACCGTGCACGTCAGTGGTACTGGTCGCTCCATCCGGCAATAATAGTTTGCTCATGAGCGGTGCTTGCCCTGCCTCTAATGCTCATGAGGCTAAACAGGGGGATCTTTTGTGCGTGTGTGTGTTGATCTGTGTGGGGAACGGTAGTGCAACTGTTAGCGCACTGCGCTCCGAATCCGCCGACCAGAGTTCGATTCCCACTCACGGCTAACACAGGTAACGATTATCTGAATTGGTCCTGGGCCTCCCCCAGGTAGAACCAGCCTCAAATGAGTACCTGGTGGGATGTGTAAACATCGCCATTGCGGAGACGAAGGCGGCCGGGCTTGATGCTGGCCACAAAACACCCTCGTGCGCCGTAAACGGCCTCCCTAGGTGGTACTCGCTAACAGCACTTGCCCCAACAGTCTGTTGATGCTATGAGGAGCGGGCGGGATCATTGTCTTCTGTGTTAAATCTATGTACCGTGCGGCTAGCTGTGTATGTGGAGCCTAACCAGCGTGGCGTTCGTGTGCGTTCGTGTGCGTTCGTGTGACCTCGGGGCAGGATGTGGAGGCGGCCCCCGCCTCTCCCCTCCTGGGCCTCAAGCCTCTGCAACTGTTGGAGCTGCAGGCCCGCGGGCGATTCGGCTGCGTCTACCGTGCCCAGCTGCCCGGCCAGGAAGTGGCCGTCAAAGTTTTCCCCCCCGAGGTACGGGTGATGGCACCAATCCCACTGCTGATTGAAGCGACAGGCTCGTTTTTTTCATCTATATTTATTAACGCTTTTGCAGCGTTCAGATTTTTTTTATCAAAGAATATTTGGTCGATGTAAAAATTTTTCATCTATATTTATTAACGCTTTTGCAGCGTTCAGATTTTTTTTATCAAAGAATATTTGGTCGATCTAAAATTTGGACGTGATAAGCCACTTCGTCGGGCAATCAGTTTGTGGCTTCTGAAAAAGAGCTACGTCGCTCAGTGGGCCTCAGCTGGTAAAATAAAAAATAGTTTTAGTTTTGTTTAATATCGCGATTTAACTCAAATTATTATTGAGCGGTATGATTTTATACGTAGGCTTTCAGAGCAGTATAATTGGCTTTCAACATCGGTATGCAGGGAAGGGTTTAAATATCGCTTCGATTGGGTAGAGTTGGCAAGTATGTGTTTCTTAAGCTCGTGTTTTGTCATTCATGAGCTCACGCACATTTGTTCATGAGCTTGCACAGGACAGAACAAGTGACTATGCGCGGACTTTTGTGCTCTAATACAGACTCCCCATGCGCTTACAATGTAACGCCCATCGAGGCGGCTTCGTTGCTTTCGGTGGCAATCAAAGTGTGCTGAGTTAGCACCATGCTAACATTCTGGGTGATTGAACACATTTACTTAATTGATTGTAATGATGATCAACACTGGCCTGCTTCTTGTCAACACCTTCACATGGGGTCTCTCTGGTGTCAGATTCATCACGTTGGGCACGCTTTTATTAGAAAAAAATAAAATTGTAGTTAATTTTTTTCTTCTTCTGCCTTTCACTTTTAGATTGCAACATCTATTGTACATTTTCATTCAGTGGACAAAGAAGTGAAACACTGAAATAATTTAGCCGTCGAGCCCATGTGACCACTTGCTTGTGTGTCGAGTGAGCTGACTGCCGAGCTGTTCAGCCCATCCACGAGGACAAGATCACAATCTGGGCTTTTTTCTTTTTTGGGGTGAGCAACAAATTAATTGGCTACCATGCACTTTTTAATGCAATAGCCGATTGTTATCTGATACCGAGGTAAGCGCTGTCATCTAGAGTGCTCAGCCGTCGTTCGGAAGGTCGCAAGTTCACATGCAGGTCGGGGAGTCAGCCCAGCCCTTCAGCTCCAATGCGTCAATAGAATGGTCACACTTCGTGCTGGAGGTGACATTGGCCACCGTACGGATAGAGGCCTCGGTTAATTGCTCTGCAAATGTGCAATTTGACCATTAGCTCAGGGCTTCCTGTATCAAAGAGTCACACAGTGGGTGGGGGGAGGTTTTTTTTCATTTCTTGTTTGAGTCATGAAAATTATTCTATTGCAGTTAGATGAAATAGCTACTTGCTTTGTGGGAAAGTCACAGAGCGAAATTCCACCACCCGGTTCAGGGGCACGCGTCGCGGTGATGAGCATCATGCTTGTGCCGATTGGAGCGCGGAGACGCGTTGAGTTGTCGAGCCGTTCATTGCCTATTACAATTACTCGTGCTTGGCTGTGTCGTAGAGTTAATAAGCGGGGGGGTGTGCAATTTAAATAAATATTTGCGGTGCAAGTCAATCTAATAAAGCGAAAGAAGAACTAATATTTCCACGCGTTGCGCTCACATCATCATTCCCGCGTGTGATCTGGGCATAGATATAGCATTGTCAGCTTCGCGGTAAATCCGCGTCAGCTGTGCACGTGACTGGCAGCAGCGTTTCACTAATTGCATTCCAGCCCCGAATAAAGGAATGGGTGTAGTATAAAATAACAAATAAAAAGGGTCACGCTTAGTTATATTTCATCGCTTTTTTTCTCCCCTCTTCAGCTTGAGCTGCTAAATAAATAAATGGTCTGCCACTCTGGCAGCTGTGCCAAGGTCGTTGTGAGGAATACCGGCCTCTCCTCGTCCGAGAACCCCCTTTCGCTGCGATTCTAAACCATCCCATTTGGCTCCATTTTGACACAATTATTATAAACCAACCGCCATCGTTGTGACTTGAGCTCGGTATGAAGTTGTGAAGTACAGGAGAGGTGGCCTGATGACCCTCACAATGTGCCTTACAACGCGAAAAATACTTCGTTTTTTTTTCTGCCGTAATGTGGTCTGGGCGAGTTCTGAGGGAAAACATTTAGAAAATTTAGCATTTAATATTTGCTCTTGATTTTGCTAGATGTTTTTTAAGTAATTAAATTCATCAGTTGCTTTTCACTAATGATTTTGTTGTTCTTGTTGTGTTAAATGAGGCTATTTGGACAATTCTGAGTGTGTTGTGTTATTTGTTGCAGAGGGAAAGTGAAATGGGCAAAACAGTAAAAGTGACCACGAAATTAATAACATGAGAGAGTGTGTTTTGTAATGGTCGTCTCCCTTTATGATCGCATGATCATAAAATGGCACGAGTGGATCTGTCTGCATAATTCACTCCCGCGCTGCCACATCAAATGTAGCGTCGCCTCAAGGGCTGCTTGTTAAATTGCTGCGTGAGGTAAGGGTCCGCATTGCTCTATAGCACGAGTCACTTAGGAGGGCAATTATACGGCTGGTTATACAGCACCCACAGGCAATCCCATATAAGCATTCTATGGTTTGTCGTTAAGCGTTCAACGATCAGGATTAAGCCAACACCACTGAGACCAGGGTTCAAGCCTGGGCAGCCGCCCAACAAATAAACCAGGTCACTGGGTATGTAATATCAATGGTATTAGTCCAGTAACTGATGATTGCATGAAATGTTGTACATGAATCAGATGTTTCGGAATGTTTGGCCTTGCACCAACAATAAATACAAGACCAGAGATTGAATTGCAGCAAAGCTCTATTCAAGAGGCATGAGCGAATGTGGGATCTATGGGTCAACTAAAGCGACACTCAAAGGTAGTTCCTTGATATTGTCTTCTGGGGCCATTCCCTGACACAATGTGATGTTGCTTTGGTCACCGTGAGGATGATTCTGTAACGGCCACATTGTGCACGTTCGAGTGAGCCCCACTGGAGGTGGAATTTTGGGGAGAAATTAATTGGGGGGCAAAGTTGGCCTCAAGATGAGAAAGAAACGGCTCCACATTTGAATTATAGCAACATTTTCTGTAAGAGGAAAGAAATGATGAGCGTATTTACGGATAAGTGGGATTCTTAGTAACTGCAGGAATTAACCGTACAATTTTAGCAGCCGAGAGTATTTCGGATAAAGCCGTGCAGCTTACAATCAGCCTGTCAATGCACTGTATGCTGAAGATATAATCTTAATAAACGTCCGGACAACAGGGCACAGAGATGTAGAAGTAGACCAAATGTATTACCTCGCCTGATGTGTACAGGAGGTCGTAGGTTCGATCCCAACCCTGACGCACGTATATTTGGAGTTTGCATGTTCTCCCTTTGGTCCCGTGGATTTTTCTCCAGGTCCGGTTTTTCCCTCAACATTTCGAAACATGCATTTAGCGTATTTGGCTGCTGCTGCGTGATAAGCTACTTTATTGGGCTGTCATTTGTGGCCAGGACATTTCTGCAAAAGTGCTATATAGCGCAGTGGGCCTTACCTGGTTAAGTAGATAGTTAAGGTAAGTTAACCTCTAAAAAAATTTGACATTCACTTACACCGCTTCGTTGCTCTGTTGCTAACGGTCGCTTTGTTTTGTTGTTCTTTCCCCAACGCACGGGCGTCATTCCCCCGCAGCACAAGGCGTCGTGGCAGAACGAAGTGGCCATGTTCACCGCGGCCGGCATGAAGCACGAGAACTTGCTGCAGTTCCTGGCGGCTGAGAGGCGTGGCACGGGCCTGGACTTCGAGTTCTGGATCATCACCCTCTTTCAGCACAAGGTGATGCGCGGCTCAAAAGGTGGCCCACCGCTCGTCTTATCTTGACGAGATTTATATAGCGTGGGCGAGATGTTAACTCTGTCGACTGGTATGCAGGAGGTCGTGGGTTCGATCCTGGCCATGATGGCTGCTGTATATTTGGAGTTTGCGGTGTTTTTCTCCCCGTGGTCGCGTGGATTTTTCTCCGGATCCTCTGTTTTTACGTACACATTTAGAATCAACACGCGTTTAGAGTATTTGGCTGCTGTAAATTCCGCGTAATAAGCCACTTCGTTGAGCTCTCATTTGTGGCCAGGTCGCTTCTGAAAAAGACCGCTCTAGCTCAGTGGGCCTTACCTGGTAAAATAAAAGTAGTGTAGTATAGCAGTGCCTTATTCCCAAGGCCCTTTACAGCAATTATTAAATTGTGCGTAAGATGATAGTGATTTAAATAAAGTGTAGGGTTAACCAAAGTGGTGGTATAGCTATGGTGACAGGAGAACAGGCGGGAAGGGTTGGGGTGGGGCTGGTTGTAGCTGGAGGGCGGAGGCAGGGAGTAGCAGTAGCATGATGGGCTAGGGGGAGAAGTGATGGGGGTCGTTTTAAGGGAGGAACGGAAGCAGGTCAATGATGATGATGATTGTTTTACGTGCAGTGGGAGCAAGAAGGGAAAAGGAACGAAAGCGAGGGACGCACAGAGCTCTTTTCTGCATGCGTTTCGCTTCCGTGACCCGTGCACGGTGTCGCCAATTCCGCGGCTGAGAATTGAAAGTCGCCAAACTTCAACTGACGCGGGGGTGTGCCGTCGTCGCTGTTGTCACCACGTTCTCCCCGCGGTAATCCGGCCTCCTCCGTTGCCGTCTCAGGGCTCGGTGGGCGACTACCTCAAGGGCAACGTGGTGACGTGGAGCGAGATGTGCCACATCGCCGAGACGATGGCACGCGGACTCTCCTTCCTGCACGAGGAGGGCCCCGACCTCAAGCCGGCCATCGCTCACAGGTGCCGCTGTCTCCCACATCTTCTCTCTCTCGCTCGGTCGCTCACGGTGACAACGCACACGCGGCACATTGTAGGGTGCATGCTGGCAGGTTATACGGCCACTGCTATAATTGAACGCTGGAATTCCAGAAATTGCAAAAAACGTTTGGAATTAGGATGTCGTCACTGAGCTTTGTTGTTGTCGTTGGGAATAAATATTTTCGATTTTTGAGAACCAATAGGAATCACAATTACACATCTCACTTTGCCTGGAATGACCTCACGGGGCTGAAGTGATGTCTTCAGTCTTGATTTGTATTTTTTTTACACTATTACCTGGCTGGGTGGTGGTGTGGTGACAGTGCTGTCCAACTCAATTGAAAGGTCACAAGTTAATATTTGAGAAAGTACAATGGCCACACATGGGACTGTATGGCTGGACAGTCATGTTTGTCGTTTGCAAATTTCCTCGAAGTAGTTGTTTATGCATTTTCTAAACATAACACGTCATATTTCTTCTCTGGCTGCTTGACCCCAACATGCCTGAGTTCAAGCCTAGCGATTGGCTGACTCAGCCCATCATCCCCACTGGCCCCATATGGGTCTCAATAGTGGTTGTTATACAGAGAGACTGGTCCCCAGCATAGGAAGATGGTATTTTTACCTGAGGATCTCCAGGAAATATTTGTTTGAGCATGATTCTTTTGTATCCCTTTCTCGTTCTGAAACGTCTGTAAGTTGCAGGGGTGGTCCCGTTCACCGCTGAATCTCGGAACGCGTAAGCGGCTCAGCGTTAATGTTATTTCAAGAGGCGTAGTGCCATTGTTTTTAAAGACATTGTCCTCACCAGAGAACTGTAGCGACACTACTGCACTCGAAATCATAGCTGGCGCCAAACTGTGCCACACGCCCTCCCGCATGGCCTTGAGGGAGCCTCGGTACAATGGCCACACATGGGTGTGATGCAGTGGACAATACAGAATAATAGATTGTGGACTGTCTATACATGTGGATATTGAGCATTATTCCTTTCCAATACTCTGGTTTCCTCCCGCATGCATAACACTCATTAAAAAAAGAATGGGCCCAATGTCCAAATACAGGACCCTCCTGAAAAAGAGTCTTGATATTCACGAAACCGTTCCTGGACAAAAATGACATTTTAATACAATCGTGGAACGTACAGTAGATACGTCTATAAATGTGTTTGACGTTTTATTTCCAATATTAAGCAGCTCAGCACATTGTTGCGTTTGGTGCAAAAGTCTTACGTAAACCGCTCTCACCGTCCTTGTGCTCTTAATGCTCTGGCAGAGAAAGTATTAGATTGCGTTTTTTTTACACTAATTATCACCGATTAGAAACACGGAACAATAGGACCCTAGTTAGTTTTTTTGCGCCTCGTTTTCAGTAAAAAAAAAAACCTAAATTACTATTACCGCTGCTCAAAGATAACAGTGAATGACGTTTAATTAAGATTGTTCCAAGTTAAAGCTGCTTTCCCTGCCCGAGATGGTTGTCACATTCATGTCCGTCTTGTCCCGAGGGCTGCCTTTGTCATCTTTTCCACATCGTTAAAATTTTATTCTTGCAGATCGAATCTCTAATTGGCAATCGTGAATTTAAATGTGTTCGGAGCTTCTGATGTTGGTTACTGCACTCCAAATTTACTTACTACGATTTTACCATCATCTCTTTCTATGTTAACGTATATACGTGAAGCTTTTTGCAAGGCGTCAAGTCTGCATTAACCACACAAACTTGTAGCAAAACATGCAAACAAATGTGCTCTGATAATATTTGCATCGTCTTCAAAACTGATTGGCCTACACCTGAGACAGCCATCTTTATGGCCTTGTCTCGCGACCACTGTTAGACCAGAGAACGTCACAATACGAACAGTAGAAAAACAATACAAGTATCAGAACATATTCTTGGTTCTTTCGGTAAAGGCGCGTAGAAGGGAAACAATAAAATAATACAAATATAAAACAATTATTTTATTGTTTCTCTTCTACGTGACTTTACCGAAAGAACCAACAATATGAATCCCTGCAGTCACGAAAGCTTTAAATCAAAAGTATCAGAACACTTACAGCTCAGGTCGTGCAAGTTATATCTTTGGGACCTTTTTCTTCCAGTATTCAAAATTATGAAAGGGTGAAACCTTTTCTTATTCTTCATTATTTTGCATACTGGTAAAAAGGCCCCATAGATATGTGATACTTTTTTTAGTCGCCTTGTTTGTCATATAAGCTGGCTAGATGTCTCTGGCTGGAGCACTCGAATTTTTTTTTTAATAACACGAAAGCATTACATTTGAACACCCAAACCGATTTCTATTCTCACTTTTATGACCACATGTGAGGCTGTCTACCATTTTTTGATCCTCGTCACGAGCTACGCGTCGTATCGATTCCGATGGCGAGCGATTGTTCTCCATGTCTGCAAATTGCCGTCAATGAAAGTGAGCCTTCGTCGTTTTGAAATCCGTCTCAGTGGAAAAGAACGGAGGACATTTCTTCCAGTGAATAGTAAAGCAGTGGCCGTGTGAAGTGAGTAGGCGCTTCAGGCGAAGTGGTTTATGGAAAAAAAAGCTTCACCTCCCCTCCCCCTCCCGCACCTCTCTCTCTGCAGGGATTTCAAGAGCAAGAATGTGCTGCTCAAGAGCGACCTGACAGCATGCGTCGCCGACCTTGGCCTGGCCGTCAAGTTTGAGCCTGGCAAACCACCCGGGGACATGCACGGCCAGGTGTGTGGCCTCCCCTGTGCCCCCCCCCCCCCCCACGCTGCACAGCTTGCTGTGGGAACCGTGCATTCCACCGCTTATTTACGTTCCTGGACACCGCTTGCGTCAACTGTAATCCTTACTGTGCTGGCAATTCAGCCGGGGGGGTGGGGAGGGGGGGTCTCTCTTACGATGGATGGGGGCAGCTTTGCAGCATGTGTAGCTGCATGCTCTGCGTGTGGTCAATGCGTGCGTGTGTTTGTCTTGTGCGTACATGCGTGCGCGTGTTCATTGTACACACACCCAAATGGGTGGAGCCGTAGCATAGCGGTGAACACGCTGCGCTACAAACCCAGTGACCTCGCTGCAGCGAGCCTCCAAGGCTGATTCTGGACTTCCCATGGGTTAACTCGGCCTAAATGAGTACTTGGTGTGCAGTGTAAACATCAGAATTTGGAAGGCAAAGGCAGCCAAGCGTGATGCTAGCCAATCCATCCACTCGTGTGCCCTGCAGACCTTAATTGTTGCTCTCTGAGAGCAGTTTCCCCAAACGTCTATATAAGCTATTCGTGGGATCTCTTGTCTTTACGTTGTATATTGCTAGGATAATATCACCTGCCCCCCCCCCCCTATGGTCTATAACTAGATGGGGAAGACCTTTGTGTATTTGTGAATGTGTGTGTGTGTGTGCATATTTGTAAGTTCGTCCGCTGTTTGTGAAACACACACTGCACTACAATCCGGTTCACTTCCAATGTTATGGCATTTCTTGATTAGCGATGCGATCTCCAGCCCCTGTCCTGGGTCACCCCGAAGTAATCGCGGCCTTTGAATGAGTACTCGTGCGATGCATGATCATTGGCACTGGTTTGACAAAAATCACCGAGTCGAGTTAGACCTCGCCGCACCGCCACGTTGCGTACCACCCCCCGGGGTTAATGGGTGCCTAGTAGCAGCACATTGCCTCCTCCACTCTGTACAAGCTGCATGGGTGATCGTTGTCCTTTTTTATGTTAATTACATCTGCAGTGGAAATCCTCAAATTAGCATTCGGTTGGCAAGCTTCTGCCTGCGCTTTATAAAAAATTGATGTTCGCCAAAAGAGCAATTTTATTTGAAATATTTTGCGTGCGGAAGGAAAATGGAGTGTCGGAAGAGGGGAGAACACTTAAACTACACGCAGAAAAATAGCGAATATAGATCTAATCTACAGAGTTCAATATGCACCTACCAATGAACAGTTTAAGTCCTTGAGTTGAGGGAGTCAACGCGGCCTAGCAGCGAGCAGCGTGTTTGACCGACTGGACATGAGGTTAGAAAATTCCACTCACAACTTTGTTGCGAGTTCAAATCCGGGCTGACCGTGTTCAAATCCTCACCATACTCCATTGTGGACTATCATCCAACTGGGTTCAATAAAATAAGCAACACTTTGTGACAAGTCAATGGCAGTTGTCCTTTGAATACGCTCACTCCTACCACAGGACAATTGACTCTGTACCACCGGCTATATTGGAAACGAATTTCTTCAGAACTGCTTTTTGTATTTAATTTGTTTTCCTTTCCCCACACCTACAATTAGCACGGTTGGCTACATACGATGCAAAGGAAGTTCACCATGCGTACATACATATGGGCACACCAGCACTGCACCAACGAGCATTGCCGCCCCAGGTGTCATTTGAGCACGGACACTCTTTACCTTTGCACAGGGAGCAGCGGCAGTTTACCGAAGGCATAACCATCGGTAAAGGCTGGCTTGGCGGTATGTATGGATAGCATCTTCTAATCATGGGACCTTTGAGCAGCAACTTCTCTGTAATTAATTGCTCTTGCGTCATTCCTCTTCCAAACCTCGCCTCTCCCTTCAATCCCCCACTTAAGCCAACAACTGCCTCCCCCTTCCACCTCATGTACCCAACCCCCCTCCCCGCTGCCGCCCACGGCAATGCATTCATCAGCCAAGATTAACACGTGTTTTCGCAAGGGAAGCGAACATGACACCGGATAATAAATTGCTTGATTGCGTTAGATATCTTCGTGCTGGTGGCAGAGCTAATGGATTATGATGAGGGGTTTAATTTAAATTGTGGGCTTCCATGTGTGCCCCCCCACCCCTTAGCCCCGGCCCCCCCCCTGCGATGGCCCGCAACCCTCCCCATTTCAGCGATGAAATTTCTGAGATGCTCGCAGGCGTCTGTTCCCAAAGTTACGAGGATGATTATTAAATATGAGTGTTGCGCAATGCTCATCCCCATTGGTAGTCCCGGAACCAGCGTTTTAAATGCCATATTCCTTGGAAAACCCAGAGCTCATGTTTGTAAATGTGTCGCCAGGGAGAGCTCTATTTGCTAGTTCATGTTGCATACGTGTACGTTCAACTTCTTTCGTACCGTACGTAGCCACCCGCCTATGCACATCCCGCATTCCAATAGTCATGGTTGGCTACGTGCCATGCGAAATCAATTCAACACGTGTACATACATACAGCATTTAGTCGTATCCCAGTCGAATCGGTATGAGAGCCAGATGCTGTATGTTTAACACGTAGGCTTTCGCGACCAATATCTATAATAGGGGTTTTTTGGGTTAGATCGTGTGCCCCCAAAAGTCATATCTACCTATCCTTACTTCAAGAACGTCGCGCGCGTTAAAGGTTATTTAGGTACATGGCCCACCAGGCCAGACCACAACGCAGCAAACAAGACGAGACTCGGGGAACCTGTCAAGCCATGCGCGGTTGTTGTACTCTTCTCCCACCCGTTGTCGGAATGACGACTAGTGGTTTTTTCCCCTTCCTCTGAAGCAGAGATATTGGGTGGCGTAGCAAAGCCTTGTTGTCATCTGTGATGCATCTCTGGTGTGAAATATGCCTTCGGCAAAATCTGCCTTCTGCAATCCAAATTTAATGAGTTAGGAGGAAGAAAACAACGAAACATTGTTAACAAGTTGCCTCATAATGTGTTTGGAAAAAGTGTTGTTTGATTTTGGCAGAAATGGGTGGGAAAAAAATCCAACAGCTGGACCCCTACTACTACGCACCTGCCCACATTGCAGTGTTTTGACCGTATTCTAAGTTTGAAGCATATTTCCTTGAAAGGCATCAACATTGTGGAGGTCACGGGTGGCTCGTGAGGGGTTCAGAAACGGGTGTGCGACGTATGTACTTCCAAGAAGAAAAAAACGTCCTCGTAGGAAAGTGCAATAAAAAAAGGCTATTACCCACAATGTCGCCTATTATACAGATGGTGTATGTTAAGGCGGTGTTATTGACGAATGTGTCGGAGTTTTTTTTTTACTTGTAGGAGAGTCTTGTATGTTCACTGGCGTTCGAGCGCGCACCGAGTGTTTGTGTTGCCCCCCTGGCCACACGTATCACCCTGTTCACCGATCGACACACGCAGCCGACTGGTCTCCGATCCGCCGGCATTAAGGCCCCCAAAAAATCTCCCCGCCTCAGCATTTCTCCTTGGGCAGATTTACTGGTGAAAACGTTTTCCAACTTGGAGGGAAAAGCAGCGTCAGGCGATTGAGCTCTTGACGCCGTTCAATGCAAACGCAGCCGCATTACCACTGGGGGCGATGAGGGTGGCACGGTAGTAACAGCAAGAAGCGTCTGGTCCGATTGCCAACTCGAGCGCCTTTCTACATGGTATTTGTATGTTCTCCCTTCTGTATTGCATGGGGTTTTCTGTGGGGTTCTCTGTGGCCTCCCATAGCGGAAAAAACCCAATGTAACTGGTATTCATCTTCTTGGTTCTTTCGGTAAAGTCATGTAGAAGGGAAATAAAATAATAAAATTAAAACATAATAAAATAATTCTCACGACGTTTCGGCCACAATGGAAGCAGCCGTCATCAGGTGAAGAACAAGTCTGTCGGGAAGACAGCGTCTGAATGACGAAACGTCGTGAGAATGATTTTATTATGTTTTATTTGTATTATTTTATTATTTCCCTTCTACATGACTTTACCGAAATAACCAAGAAGATGAATCCCTGCAGTCATGAAAGCTTTAAATCGTAACTGGTATTGTCCAAACATACCAATGCTCCAAAAATGATCTGCGTATTACTCAATTGGGATTACACACAGCAGCGGCAACATCGCCTCAGACTGCCAACGTCTGGCCGGACCCTTTTGAAAAAGAGCCTTAAGGCTTTGGTGAGTTATTGCTGGGCAAACAAGTGTTCATTTGCATTGATATTTTAAGTTCTGAATATTTCTGTCGTTTTTAATTACAATTTATCCAAAATTAGAGCTTCGGCATATATCATATTTCGATTTAAAGCTTTCGTGACTGCAGGGATTCATCTTCTTGGTTCTTTCGGTAAAGTCACGTAGAAGGGAAGTAATAAAATAATAAAAATAAAACATAATAAAATTACATAATAAAATAATTTTATTATGTTTTATTTTTATTATTTTATTACTTCCCTTCTACGTGACTTTACCGAAAGAACCAAGAAGACATATATCATATGTGCAGAGAAGAATTGTTTCCACTACCTCGTATTTATCTAAACAAGCCAATATTGTAGAAGTTTGAATTTCACCGTTCTCATCAGCAGAGTGTTGCTTAAATTACTGGTGCGCATGCATGACTTATTGCAGTCCTTCCGGCAGAGTGGCTTACCTGTTGTGTAATTGGCCTTCGGATTAGACGTGTCCAACGTTCACCATTGGATCGCACATCAGTAGGGTTGAGCACCGTTCATTGCCCCTTTGACCTCGAGTCCATTATATTACATTGGAGTCTCATTCAGCACTGGAAATATCGGATACAGATTTATTATCTCTGCTAAAAGAAGGCTACGGGGTTTGAAATCAGCATATGAGCAAAATGAAGATCGTGGACAAGGAGTTGATCAAACAATGTATACGTACGCATGTCTGTTGAACCTCTTTTGCACCGTACTTAGCCAACCGTGCTGATCGGTGTGGGAAAATGTCATGGAAATCCATGCTTGGGATTACATTGAGAGACAAAGGGAGGAATGCGTGCAAGCAGGTTAAAGGTGTACTTGTGAATGCTGAGAAAAACGTGGGCTTTGCGCAGGACACTCGTCAACCGTAGGGTGGACAGCCAGTGGTCGGGAATAACAACAGAATGGCAGCCACGGGACGGGAGGAGGGATTACGCCAGAGAGTGTGTCTACTGTGGACGTGAACCGATACAATCAGCTCGTGTGCAGGGGCAAGGTGGATTATTACATAAAAAAACGTTAAGAGATGGGTACGGCTTGGGGGGAAGCCTTCATCCAGCAGTGGCTTGATCACGGCTAATGATGGCGACGATGATGATTCGGCTCAACTGTGCTGTGGCCGCCACTCTGTCTTCCCTGCCTGCAGGTGGGCACGCGCAGGTACATGGCCCCCGAGGTGCTGGAAGGGGCCATCAACTTCCAGCGAGACGCCTTCCTGCGTATTGACATGTACGCCGTGGGGCTCGTGATGTGGGAGCTCGTGTCCAGGTGCACCGTGGCCGACGGTGAGGTCTCACCCACACCCCGCCCCCTCCACCCCCATCCCCTCCCCCACCGTCCCACCCCCCCCCCCATTGCCTTCCCCCCATCGCCCCCCACCATCCCCTCCCCCCGTCACCTCTCCTTCACCGCCACCCCCATTTCGAACAGCTCGGCGTGCTCTCCGTAATCGGCGAGCACGCTTGGACACCGCGAGCTTTGACCGCGTGGCTGTCCTTGCGACTGCAGCGTGGCACTAAAGGACGCGGTTGTGGTCTCAAGTTGGGAGTGTCGTGCAGCCCTATTGAGCAGTGGAGTGGCCCTCGCTATCCATACCATGGTCACTGTCAATTTACCATCAAATGGTGCTCATTTTATTAAGCACACAGGGATTATGGGCTGGGTCTACTCTGACCGGCACTTTTAACTCGCTGCCTTGTGATTGTGAAAGACGTTGGTTGCACTTGTGCTTCATATGATGGGAGTCGTGTCTGACGCTGCTTTTGAATCCTTCGTTTTGAGGTTGGATTGTATTGGTGTGAGCCTGCGTGTGCGTGTGCTATGTACACACAGCAAGTTTGTACAGTAGGGGGCACAGGTGGTGCATCTGCCAGTTATCTCAGTCCCGTGACCTCCTGCCGGCCGGCGTTCGACACTTCACGTGGCTTTAACGTGCACATAGCCTGGCACAAGCGCCGTGGTGACGTCACCGCCACTTTGTGGCGAACGGCGGTTGTTGTTGTTGCTTTGTACAGCGCCTTGCGACATCCGGTTGAAAGGTGCTACAGAAGCGTGAATTATGATATCATTGAAGACAGCCACCGAGTGAAAGTTTTCTGTGCGACTGCTTTAAAGCGTGTGCTTGGCTGTGTGCGGGTGCGTGAGCAGGCCCGGTCGGGGACTACCGCATGCCGTTTGAGGACGAGGCGGGACAGCATCCGTCGCTGGAAGACATGCAGGAGGTGGTCGTCAACAAGAAGCAGAGGCCCGTGCTTCGTGACTGCTGGAGGAAACATCCTGTGAGCGCTCGCTCCGTTCACTTGCCCACGCGCCCACACGCTCCGTTGGCCTCTCTAATCAGTCGCTGGGATATTCACGTCTGCGAGTTTCACCGCAGACAAAACGATGTCGAATTTTGAGCGATGTATGTATGTTGAACTTGTTTGGCACCGTATTTAGCCAACCGTGGTGATCGGAGGTGTGGGAAATGTACCTAGCTATTCTAGGTATGTGTGACAAATCCTCCATCAGTTTCACTAGGTGCAATTATGTATTTGTCGACGGTAGAATAGAGGTTTCTTTACCAAGACCAGAAGTAGTCGTTTATGGCCATACCATGCGTGACACGATGCTATGCGTACTTTTGGAAGTCCTCAAGCACGAATATTCCTCTTATGATTCCAGTCAATCGAGGCAAATTATACCATATTCTTGGTTCTTTCGGTAAAGTCACGTAGAAGAGAAACAATAAAATAATAAAAATATAAAACGATAAAATTCTCACGACGTTTCGACTGCAACACAAGCAATCATCATCGAAAATTATACCGTGAACACACAAACTGTCGTTTATCTACAATCACTCCAGTGGGCTCTCACTTCGGTAATTAATGAGCTTCATGTAAAAAAGTTAAACAAAATCTCAAAAATATTTTAAACAAAAAAAAAACGTTAACTGAATGAAAGCCTGGGTGCATGCGTCTCGACGTGAGTCTGTGGAGAGCGGTGGCATGGTTAGCGTACTGCTCTACTAACCCATTAGCCCAAAGTTCAATTCCTGGCCACGGCTAAGATCAGTGGCGAGTGATACCTGAATCAGTCCTGTGCCTCCCTTAGGTGGACTTAAATGATTACCTGGCTTAGAGTATAAACATCAGCACTGGGAGTGCTAGCCTCATCACCCCCTTGTGCACCATGTCTGCATTTATAAGTGCTCGCTAATTGCCCCAAGAGTCTTTGTAGGCGATCAGGGGGATCTTTGTGTATGTGTGTGTGTGTGTATGAGCACGTGTGTTTTGCATGCATCCGTGCACATGTCTGTGTTGGAACGGTGGCGCAACGCTGAGCACGCTGCGCTCCGAACCCGCCGCCCTGAGTTCGATTCCCGCTCACGACTAACTCCAGTGATAATTATGTGAACCTGTCCTGGGCCTCCTCTAGGTCAACTCAGCCTCAAAATGAGTACCTGGTGCGATGTGTAAAACATCACCAAAATTGAAACAAAGGCGGCTGGGCATGGCGCTTTGGTTAACCAACTCCCTCGTGTGCTGCGCTGGCCTTCAAAAGTACTTGTCCCAAAAGTCTTTAAAGGGTATATGGGGGAATCTTTGTGTGCATGTTGTGGCCTTTGCCTATGTGCACTCGTCAATGCCTGTGCACTCTGCGCTTTGCGTGCTGCCCGCCGGTGGTGTCCAGGGCCTGTCCCAGCTGTGCGAGACGGTGGAGGAATGCTGGGACCACGACGCCGAGGCTCGGCTCTCGGCCGGCTGCGTGGTCGAGAGGGTGTGCCACGCGCGCCGTGTCGCAGAAGCTTCCGGCGTCGCCACCACCACTACCTCCACCAGCAGCACCAGCAGCAGCAGCAGCAGCGCCGGCGATGCCACCATCACAATCATGGTTCCCTCGGCGTCACCTCCGAATCCTGAACTGCTGCCCGGCGCCGCGAGAGAATCCAGCCTCTGAGCCCAAGCCGCGCCGTCGTAGCGTCAAACCGGGCGGCACGAGCAACACGCGGGAACTGTAAACACTCGGGCACCGGTCATCGGGAGCAAGGGGGAGCAGTGAAGAACGTGGGGACAATCGGCGCGCAGGTAGCCGCCGGTGTGCGCTGGTTGCTGCGTCTGTCGGAGTCTCAATTGCTAGAGAGTGGGGGGGACTCCAGGCTGGGTGACCATTGTGATCTGAAGGTGCTCAGCGTTTGTGGCTGTGCAAAAAAAAAAGAGAGTCATTGACTCGCGTTTGCGTCCGTGCACCGCCTGTGCAAATGGGGCGCAAAGTATTCCGACCGTAGAGAAGTGACGGTGTGTCGAGTACACATTGGCAGTGCTGTTCGAAAATCTTGATTGGACCACGCTTTGGAGGTGCATCATATAAGCGGCCACAGGAAGCGATTTAAGATGCGCTGCGACTCCAACACGCCACAGTGCACCCGAAGCAAGTCATTCGCAGATGGACTCTGTGTTCTTCACTAAAAAACATGAATGTACTGCTTTGAAAGTCAGATACTGCGTTTTAACGTTACTCCTCAACTGTGCATCGAAATGAGTTTTTTTCAGGACACTTGCTTTCCTTTTACAGATAAGTGCTCATTGGCAACGGTGTGTGCTCTAGCTACAGACATGAATTCATTAACGAACGACTTCATGAACGACTTGAAGACAACCGAAGGGAAAAAAGACGCCACTGCCAAACAGAAATCATGAGCTCCACTGCAAGAATTACAATACTTCTGGTGTTGGTGTCAGCATGCATGATGCTATTGCTGTAACAAATCAGCAGGGACACCATCAATAATATAAGCCATCTGTTCAGCCAAAAAAAAAGCATTATAAACAGGTACAAGTTCATAATTTTTTACTCCAGTACAGCTGTAATGTGCTCACCACCTCCGCCACTTGCGAGGTTCCCTCCCACATCGTGCCGTACGCTGTGTGGAGCCTTCAAACCTCCGCATGCCATTTCATCTCAGGAAAAAAAAAATGATTCTCGTCGCTTGGGGTACCGTTGGTCTTTGTGAGCTGCAGTCCTGGATTGAGCGTGCAAGGGAGCGCCCGGGTAGGCGGTCGGTAGGCGGTCGGCAAGCGGATCGCAGGTCTCACGAGCCGCCGACCCCATCTCGGCCACGCCGCATTTATTTTGTTTTCATCGGTGGCCCGTTGTCTCGGAGCAGTCGTCGGGTTTTCAGTTGGGAGTTGAACTCCGGCCGCTGCTCGAGGCTGTCAGGCTGGTGTTTATGACGAGCGCAGTGCAGGCGAGAGACGTCAACGATGTTGTTCAGGAGCGAGCGTTGCTGGCGCAGGCAAAGTGAATGCTTCGGTAGGCGGCGATTGCTCCTTTGCAGAAATGGCGTATCTGCGAGGAGAACCTGCCTTGGTTTGAGTTTTTCATTTTTTTTATGCTGTCTCTGAATAAATCGTGGAGCCTCTGCAACTCTTAACACTTCCTACCAAATAGAGTCTGATAGGGCAGTGCAGCATTTAAAGAAAGAAAAGGTGTGATTCATGTGAATACAAACAAAATGCCCGTTGCTGTCTCTTGTGAAACGGCAGGCGTGTGGCTTGTGCTGTGAGACTGGATTAAAGAGTAGGCGACGTTCTCAAAGAACATGCCTTCTGCTGTATCAATGCCGCGCAGCAAAAAATATATATATACCGGTAATTGCACCGATCGAAACATGAAGCCGTGATTATTGCGATGTCAGGTGCTTTAACTGAACTGCGTGCATTGGCTCCCAGGCTCAAGTGACGTCTGAAAAACCTGTTACAACTCCCCATCACTGTGCCTACGATTTGAAATTGTTGCGCCCCCCCTTTTTGAGTTCGGATGAAAAAAAAAATCAACCGTAATGTGAATATTTTATCGAGGTGATTTTTCTTTCATTGTCGTTGTTAAATTATTCTTTAGTCCGGGTGACCACCCACCCTTCGTTCCGCCATGGAGCGTATCGCCGGCCTCTTGTCAAGCCACCGAATGTCAATGCTGCTTTGGAAACTTCCACAGGGTCACTGAGGTCAAACAGGGCACTTCACACTCAACCGCCACCTCTTCACAACCAGATATACCTCATTTTTTTAAAGTTTATATTTAAAATACCTGTATTTTAGTACTTTATGCCGTTTTGTCCGACCTTATTCTGTTTTTATCGATACTGTACAGTTTTTAGTTCCAGGTTTTTACCGAGTACAGTATACCTGTTGAGAAAGTACAATTCACGGCGGGATTTGCTTTCCGTATTTGTTGTCATTATTTTCGAGAGAGTGAGTTATTGTTTTTGTTCAGGTCGTCTAAATTTTTAAAGCTTCCTGACCATCTCTCCCCCCTCTGTTCACCTGTGATTTACCCATGGCCTTCCGCCCCAGGTCGTTATTGAAGTTTTTCTGTGCGTTCACCTGCCCGGCCAGGTCGCCGTGCGGCGGTGGTCATTGACTGTTCAGGGGTGTTGTGTACTGCGCACCACGTGCACTCACACAACGGAACACACACGCACACACACCCCCTTACACCGAGAGAACATTTGGCAGAATGTTCAGCCCTTGCCTGCAAAGGTTCATGGTCGACACTGAATTCGCCGATCGTTATTCAGGAGTCTTAAGCGAGTGTATCAAAGCGACACAGTTTCGTTGATTTTTGTTGTTTCGTTTCAATTTTGTGGAATGCATATATTTTACGTGTATAAACAAAGTAGTCGTGTAAGCAAATTAAACTAATTAAAGTATGAAAGTTAATGTAACCTTGTTTTGAAATGGACAACACGTATATATGGTGACATGTTAAATGTTAATGATAGTGAATATCTAAACTGTAACTTGCCAAGAGGTTTTGTTTTGGAATAGACAGCTGTGGTTAAAGTGAATGTCGAAGGACCCTTTGCAGACTGTGGATATTTTCATTCGTGCTCTGCTGGCATGCAGATGCAGGTGTCTTGATCATTTCAAACCCTAAAAGGTGTATGCCTGTGTACAGTGAATTGTTTTTACTTTCTTAAAAAAATTCTTGCAATACCTCAGGCAGGTAAATAGCATTTGTATCTTTGTATGTAAAGTTAATTGACGGCGCTGGTAGTTTGTACTCGTGTCGCTATCGAGGCAGAAGTTGTGCTACTGATGTTCTTGTAGATAAATCGATGTCATGGTGTACTTTGTCAGTTAGATATCAGAAACCTCCCGTCACGGAGAGCCTCGGTCGTATGGCGACTCCTCTTGGCGAACGGACGAGTCCACGGGGTGACCCTGGTGGTCGATAATTACGCGACACGGCCCTCCGTCTCCAACGGGAACGCTTCTCGTTGGCATCACGGTGTGCCTGCCGTGTAACGAGGATGGCACTTCGATTCACCCTCAAGCCCCGCACCCTCGTGTGGATTGCTCCGATTGCCGCTTTAATCAACCTAACGCGGAGAACTCTTAGAGGAGTTATTCAATTGATTAAAAAGTCTGCTCCCTTGCTTAAATGAGCAATGGGGGAGTGGGTGGAGTGCTTTTTTCCACTTGCCCCGAGCCATTTGTGCAAATGCCACCTTCCCATAGTGAAATCCAATATCTGTATTCCGTAGCATGACCACTATTGACTTCTCACGAAAGTTGATGTGAACTTCATCAACCCCAGATGGATGACTGGCTAAGTTAACCCCCCCCCCTTCCCAACCATGAATTAAACTCACACCTCTACGATGAGTTGAGAGAATGAGTCGAGCACTATCCTCCACTGCACAGGCAGGTGCCACCCCCCCCCCCCCCACCGAGGATTATTTATCTCGTGCCCTGCGCGCCAGCAGTCGGGGTGGTTGTAAATGGAGAACACTCGCCAACTATTTCCGTCCGCTGCGTGCGAGGTGGAGCAACACGCTTAGTGCTCAGTGACGGGGAACATTTACAACTGATTGATGCAAATAGACGTTAACGTTACAATGGACGGTGCAAATCAACATTGCATTCTAACAACAAAGTTGACGGCGGACAATTAGAAAACCCTTAACTCAGTGTTTTGAAAATGTAGTGCGTATTAAATGATATCGGTTGTGCACACGTCCGCATAACAAAGCGTGCGCAACGGTAAATCAAATACGCGAATAAGCAACATTTATATTCTGCCTGGATTTATAAAACTTGCTTTCGCCCAGCTGGAGTCTAACCAGGTGGCAACAGCACAATGTGTGCTGTCACTTCAGTGGAACGGACGATGCCGCCAGGGGTGAGACATCAAGCCAGATTGTTGTCGGTCACTGCTGAGTGGCATCCGACGAGGACCTCGACAAACTCCGCTGTCGTAACCCTGTTCAATCATCGGAATAGCGCGTGTGGTGCTATGCAGTGGTATAGCAAAAAAACGCATCTGGACATGTTGCACCGGGTTTTATGGGAAAGTGTCAGGTCCTCCACCTTTCCGTCAGCATGGGCCTTCATTTCCAGGATTGGCCCCTTTAAAAGTGGATTTATCGCCAAGGTTTTTTGGTTCATTGAAACCTCTTGCAAAGGCCCTCTGCGCTCTTTTAGAACACAGCAAGAGAATGGACGGGGAAGGGATTTCAACAGATTCCAAATCAAACTGTATGAGGGGTGTCGGTAAAGCTGTGTTAAATTGTAAAAAAAAAAATCAGCCCACGTTATGGCTGTACACCACTCACTTTGGCCCAATATTTATTTTTTTCTCCAACGGGGAGCACGAAAAGTTGCCGTTATCATCGCCTATTCTCAACATAGGCACGTCTCCAATTAGGGAGTCCATTCTTAATTTTGGAGCTTTCGTGACCGCAGGAATTACTCTTTGGTTCTTTCGGTAAAGTCACGTATAAAGATAAAATAATAAATTAAATAATAGCATACGGGTGTCCATATTTGCTTTTGAAATCAAAATCTGGATTGGAGCGTTGCTGTGCCGCATGCAACGGTGCGACTGTTCCCACTCAAGCGAGCCTCTCCCTGGAACGCGTTACACCACATCGGTGTTGGTGTTGCCAGGTTGAGAGTAAAAGTCGGTGGAGTAAAAGCCCTAGATACACGGATTTTGCTGGGGAAATAACCTCTAGCTCTCAAAAGCCTTTAAAAGGACATCATCGGCTCAAAATAAGCAGTCCAATAAACAAAGTCACGATTGCAGTATTTACTTGGAGATACGAGGGGTGTTAAAAGCCCTCGACAAGAAAATTTATCTTTAGATTTTTACACCTCTTTCTCAACATAATCCACGTGGATACATTTTTCCCCATCCATGTTAAAGCCTCAGAATATCCTCATCATAAATTATGGTTCTTGAGCCAGTTACCAACAGTTGATGTCTGTATGTATGTACTATTGAACTTCTTTCGCGCCGTACGTAGCCAATCGTGCTAAATCGGAGGTGCGGGGGAAAGGACGACAAACCAAACACAAAAAGTAGTTCTTGATCAATTCGTTTTCAATCTCGATTTAAACGTGCTTGGCTGAAGTGGCTTCCTCATATCGGAAGAACATTCCAAACGGCCACAAGTACAACTGAAAGCGCGCGATGCAGTGACCATCTTTGTTCGATGACTAGCCAAAAGCCGCAGCGATGATAACCGGAGTTCGCGTGATTTCTCCTTTATCTAAGCTGAACCACGGGCCGGCGTAGTATTTCCATGATTGTGTACATGGTCCAGGTAATTAGCTCTTAATAATGGCCTGTGGCGTCCCTAAATAGAGACGCCGTGAAGTTGGAGATTTCGTAGTTTCCACGAAGGAGACCTTGAGTCCAGTTCAAAGTAGCGCGCACCCGTCTCATGCTCGGCAATAATGCAGGACAAAAAAAGTCGCGAAACATTCATCGGCACAGTATTCTGGTGACACCGTTACTCTTCCAAATCCAGAGTTGTTGCTCTGATGGTCATCTCAGCTGTGCCCATGCTGGTGCCCAGTTTATCAGCGATGTTCTTCATGGTCAATCATCGGTCATATTTGCTTCTACTGCATCAGTGTTATGTTCGATCAGTACTTTTACTGGCTTTCCAGACATGGCTCAGCTGTGCTTTTCCGGCCACATTTTTGGTGCCGTTATATGATGGTGTATCCTCCCGAAGGCTCCAATTTGACCAGCACAGACAATTAAAGTCAATTCTTTACAATCTTCAAACGTGAAGCATGTCTCAGTGGAATATTATTTCTCACGTCACATGAACTGGGAAAACAATCTAAGCACCAAAATAACTCTTTGCAGGTCAGGCCGGGGACTTTTAGAATTCTCCCTCATACCTCAAATATCCTACTAAAACTAAAGTTCTTTGACCATCTCCAGGTCTAAAAACTGGAACAATAAACAGAGGGCAGGAGTGGTTCTGGTATATCTGTTTGCCACTTTCTGTTCATGAATATTTTAAACTTGGCCCAAGGCTCAAGTAGATGAGTTACAGGGCATTGTAACACATCACTGTAGATGCTGCAGCAGAAATGTATATATGTATGTGTATATATAAACGTCCGTCTGGGTAAACATCTATTGCATAGTCATGATGATATATATGCTGTAATTCTTTTTTTAATCCTGTCATTGTAGGTGAAATATAAATGTACGAAAAAATATACTGAACTAACATTGATTGAAAACATTGTTGAGCGTGCTATCGCCAACACAATGTTCGTGTTAAATGTCACTGATCTTATGCCACACTAAAAAGAGGTTGTTTCCAACCAAGTGCTGCAAAGTTATCCCGACAATTAGGCAGCATATTCCAATTACAGCATATATATGAGTATATGTACACTTACAGTAGAGCCAAGTTGTTGTTAGCAAACATGTCATTTTTTTTTAAACGAAAGGCCATTTAACAAAAAAAAAACTCATCACAGGTAAATATGCCTTACATTTTGATCTTGCATCCAGTAAGCTTGCCTTACTGCTGCTGATGGTGAACCGTTGGTGCTGTGCTCTAACACTGGTCTCATAACCACGGCGTTCGGGACAATTCATGCCCCGCGAGAGGGGTCGATTGTCGGAAACAAGCATGTTGTGCGGGTAACGATCGGATAAGCAAGGTTCTGCTGTACAAAGATCCCCCGTGTAGCCTTAACATGCTGTTGGGGCAAGTGCTGCTAGCGAGCACCTATGAAGGCCGGCACGGCACACGAGTGGGTGGGTGGCCAACACCACGCCCGGCCGCCTTTGTCTCCCTAGTGGCGCCCCAGGGGAACTCAATTGAGGCTGAGTCGACCTAGGGGAGGCCCAGGACCGGTTCAGATAATCGCCACTGGTGTTGGCCGTGAGCGGGAATCGAACTCGGGTCGCTGGGCTCGTCGCGCAGCGCGCTAACCGCTCCACCACCGCTCCCGTTCTGCTATCATGCGCACAGACACACAGACACACACGCGTACACACTACAACGTGAATGTTTATGGCAAAGAATGAGCTGCAGTTTGTACATTTATCTTAAGACAGGTACCTTCTCTTAAGTGTTATCTGACAATTTTAGATAAATGTAAACTCATGCCAAATGTGTTTAAAAAAAGAAAAAAACGATTTCTACCTTTGAGATAAATTAGCTGCAGAAATGGGAAATGTTGGCCCTCAGTTGAAAGCCGTCCATCTTTGTTGTTTCATTTCCCAGCATTAATGAAAAAGGGTTTTGGTGACCCGATGATGAATGTATTTTTTTTCTTATTAGTACCGAACAATAAACTTTTGTATTTAAAACGTTCTGACCTTTAAATATTAATAAAAAAAAAACATCTTCATGTAAAAAAAAAAGTTTGGTGTCTCCTTGCAGTGGCGCACTGCTCTCCTTTGATGGATGCGAGTCAATGGTGGAAATGTCCCATTCCTATGCGAGAGGCCAGTTTTGTCCAAACACGAACTGTGGTTCAAAAGTCTCAACACTCGCCCCTGGCTTTTGCTCAGCCAATGTTAAGGCCGTTTTGAAAGTTGTCTGCCCAGTGCAGTGCACGGCAAATCAGCGCGTCTGGGTAAGCTTGCAATTGTTCAGCATGAGTTTGCATGGGTAAGCAGAACTTGACCGAGACCCGCTTTGAACAAAAACCATAACTTGAAACGGCAAAATAGACAGAGGGTTGGGCCCATAAGTTCGGACGCATAGTTATTTAATTAAATGTTTTACAAATGTTCAAACTGACTGCCATTAACGTTACTGCATGCATGAATTCTTTTTTGAAATGCATCTAAGACTAATATATTACAAGTATAATCTTTTAATATTGTTTCGTCTCAATTCATTCGGTTGAGTTTTGTAAGCGACGGATTTGAGGTGACCCCACAGGAAGAATAAAAATGAAAAATATTAACTTAAAAGAATAAACAATAACAATGTTTTACTGGTAGGAACCTCCTGGTTGTGTCCGTCCGTCGTGCATCAAAAAATGGGAGGGGTGGGGCTGGGTGGAGAGGGGCTGGTCACCCCGTGGTGCCCTTAAAACTCAACGTTTAACCTACTCACGCCGGCTTGTGCCCGCCCTCAGTCGGGCATATTTGCGGAATACACCACGCCGCCGTTGACCCTGGCCATTGACCGAGCAACCCAACGTTCCTACCAGCTCCCTCCGCAGGAATGTGTTTTATGTGTTAAAATTGATGTATATACCCCCTCCATACGCCTTGTTTGGAGTATCTCAGGCAAGCAGTGGTGTGGGACTTGAGCTTGCAACTTCGTATATCGCTCTAAAAAAACCGCTGCTTACGCACGCGATAAGCCACCAACACTCTGCTAATTACCAACTACCTGCAGGAACTGTGGTCACTCAGCCTGGCACCACCATGGCTTGTGATTGGTTGTTGCGTATTGTTTCAAGTCGTGTGGTGTGCATGCAACGGTTGTTGCATGGTGGATCGGGTCAATTTACATGCAAATGCTTGTGGCATCGCCAGTGGTGTCACTTACATTTTCATACTCTTTGGTTCTTTCGGTAAAGTCACGTAGGTATAAAATAAATCACGACGCTTCGGGCACAACACAAGCGTCCATCTTCAGCTTAAGGGGGTGCCCAAATATTTGATGTCTCGCACGGTCACGCCTAGGGTTTATATCGTGGCTCATCTTGCCTAATCACATCATTTAAAAAAGTTATTTTACGAGGTTATTGAAGCCATATCTCATGGTGGTTGTCAAGGCCCCCCCCCCCCCAACTCGGATGTGAGGCACCTACATCACCCATCGCATTGCGTGCAGCCATTGCTTGGGTCCTGCTGCATGTGTCCAAGGTGAGATGGGATATTTAGACAAATCCTTATCAACCTTTTTTTTCACGTGCAGATAACTGCAGTTCCTACAGGATATGTAACTATGATGCAGATATTGGCAGTTCACCAGCATTAAGCAAGCCTGACTGTTGATTAAACAAGTGTTGCAACCAGTCCAGTTTTCCCATCTTAAAATAATGCTATTGAAATGATACATTCAGCAGACCATGCAGCTGATAAGTTGGGTAAGAAACGTGATTTTTTTTTGCGGAGATGCATACGTACGGTGCTAAAGAAGTTCAACATATGAAGGATTTATCATGCAGATAGGTCAGTCATCTACTTACTGCCATCTACTGGCCACCCCTAAGCTCGGCCGATGAGCATCTCACCAATGTCACGAAGCAAGTCCTGTTGCAGCGTTTATTTAGTGTTAGAAACACAGCACGTTATTTCATCGGAGTATAAGTTACTTTAAAATACTTAATGAATGGCAAAAAAATGTGTGAAGGCGATCACCACTTTACTGTGCACACACTGAAATAGTGGCAGCCCATTGCTCGCTTTCACATTCCCATCAACTCTGCAGTTGAAAATAATTTGCATTACTGGCTGAAGTAGTTTTCCAAAAACACGGAATGAAAGCATGGCCACGCAACAGGAAACAAATAAACACAGCAGACAAATCAATTAACGATTTTTTTCTTTTCTTAGCAATGACCCTTCTTCAAAACAGAAGAGCCACTATCCGAAATGTTAAGCCTACTGTGTATACTTCTGTTATAAGGACCGTTTGAAATGGTGGGGAAATCTCCCCCCTCTCCAACCCCCCTTACCCCCCTCGGGATTTCTCAGGTGGCCGTTTGAAAGGGTGGGAAAACTCCACCCCCATCCACACCACCCCGGGGTCCTTCAGGTGACAGGTGCGTCAATGCAGACGGCGGCGGCGAGGGGTTTTTCCCATCTCAACCGCTCCGTGTGAACTTCTCGCCTGGCTGAGCGTGCGACGTGGCCACCCCGGATTACGAGCGAGCCCCTCCGCAAGAGAGTCCATATTCTCGCCATCGCCACGGGGCGAGCTTGAAGCCAGCTCCAGTACCCGCAAGCCGGCAGTCATTGTCGCTCTGGAGGTAGAGTCGCGGTGAACAACGGAGCCACCAGGAGACGAGACGACAAGAACGCCGAGACGAGGGAGACGCCCCCCCCCCCCAACCCCTCTCCGAGCTACCCGAGTGAAGAGGTGGCCCACTGCCGCACGTCGGTGGGGCATTGTGGGTAGTGCTGCAGGGCGTCCGTCAGCTGCGAGTCGTGGACCAGCAGCCGCATGAGCTGGTACTCGCGCTGCACATGGCCGCTGCCCGCCCCGCGCCCCCTCGGACCTTCGGCCGAATGCACAAACTCCATCTCCTGCAGGCGCTCGAAGGCCTGGGTGCGAAAGTGTGCACGCGTGTTAGTGTCAGGGCACCGGGATTGCGTTTCAGCTGTGCCCGTCTGCGTCGTGCGGGTGGCCTGCATTTCAGTGGCTTAGGTGCTCTGGCAGTGTGGACCAATTTGTTTTTTTAATCCGTCCAACAAGCTCAACTTTGGATAAATGTTGATCATTGTTAGTAAAAACATTCCATCCTGAAATTCCAAAGCAGAAATGTATCTTGCACAAACAACATTTTTTAATGCTACAATGCTACAATTAAGCCAAATATCTTACAAGCATGTCAAGCCAGTGTCCTCCCGACTCCAATTAGCAGAGAGGTGACACTCAACTTTGTTGAGAGCAGTTAGCCAAGAGAGAAATTCCACATTCACATGGCATCGGCTGGTCTACCCCTAAACTGCCCATTCTCCCATGCACAGGCATGCTTAATTGCGCTACAGATTAAGTGCTCACTCGCTTTCCCGCACTCCTATTCAGTGAGTTTGGGCAGGCTACATCACTCGAAGGCATTGTTGACCCAAAAGGTGAGGCTGGTGTCATAACAGCAGCCAAAGGAGAAACGAGCCAGAGGATGTCCACAGTGGGTGTGGAGCGATTAGAATGGGAAGAGAACTCCTCACCAACGAATTTGATTACTCAAGAAAAAGCGATCAAGCCCATTTCCAAATAAGCACCTGCGACATCAACACGGATCGGACGCCGCACGTAAGATATGTCAACAGTGACGACTTACCTTCATTACCACTGCCTTGTTGTAGTTGTACACCGAGTGAGCTTTTCTCTGGACAAACTTCTGGTATTCTAGGGAAGGGAAACAATGAGAGTTGCTTGGGCCTGCTGATCAAAGTCACGTGGGCTTGCTGATCACCTAAAAAATGCCGAGTACCGCGCTACAATTGGGAAACGAAAATTTCAAGTTAAATCGGGCAACAATCATATTCTATTTAGGATTTATACAGCAGTGCCCTTTTCAGGGCACTTAACAACACAAGCCGACGGCGGTACACAAGGGGCAAAAGGGGAGCAAACGGGTGGGGTGGAGTGGCTGTCAGCGATAGAGGTGATGGAAGGGATGGAGGGACAGGGGCGAAGAATGGAACTGATGTTGTTGCAGGGGTAGGGAAGGAGGAATACGGTGGAGTGCGATGGTGAATGAGGGTGACAGATGGGTGCAACGTGGATGAGAGGCAGCGGGGTATGCGGTACACGTGTGTGAAGTGGTAAGATAGGTGCTATGGCTGGGCATGGATGAGGGTAGGTGAAGGGTGGTAGGGGCAGAAGTCTGGTGGCCGAATAGTTGAGCTGATTGTCAGTCACAAACATTCAGTTAACCAGGAGATTAAATAAACCCATCGAGACGCACAAAACATCACCACTTTTGCAAGTGCACCTCCATGAACGGTCTGCAGTACACCGACATAACTATCACTGTAGCAAACGCTTGTGTAGGGAACATATAAATGTTGAACTGCATACTTCTTCGTGTTTACCATCATCATCAGTCACAAATGAGCCATTGTTGGATGAAGGCCTTCCCCCAGGCCGGTCACCATCTGTTACAGTCCCACGAAGTAACGATCCTCCCAGCCTCGAGACAAGAGCTGATTTCATCGCTTTGTCTCCGTGGTGCAGCACGTGGTCTCGGGCGCGTTACCTCCCTTCCCAGCCTGCCGTGTCGTTATTCTGGACCACCAGCCGTATCGACCAACAGCGACGTATACTGCCCAAGTCACTTGTTATCTGGGGCACCGCGCTGGCAAGATGTTATCTGCTTCGCCGAGTATGCAGGAGGTCATGAGTTCGATCCCGTTCCTGATGCCTGCTGTATATTTGGAGTTGGCATGGTCTCCCGGTGGTCGCGTGGATTTTTCTTACAGGTCCTCTGGTTTTTCCCTCCACCCATCGAGAGTATTTGGCTGCTATAAATTTCCACAAGCCACTTCGTTGAACTATCAAAGAGTTTAGTTTACTTATATTTTCATACCATTAAGAAAGGTGGACTAGCAACAAAAAAAACACTGCACTTCAGAAGACTAACCACCACGAGGACAGCACTTCAGTACAGTTGACTGTACATGTGATGTGCTGACCCTGCCATGAAAGGAGGTCAGCCCTCAGCGGGTTGAGCGAGGAGCAAAGAAGCAAGATGACACCATCAGGGCTGCCTCTCAGTAATTGCCTCCATTTAAAACGACGTTTAAAATGTCTGTTGCTCCTTCCTCCAGTTAGCCCACCGGTGCGAGCTCAAGAAACCCGAGCTAAAGATGACACAACCCTCAGGGGCTTGTGTCAAGCACACAGCCTGTTCGTTCAGGGGTCACGGGGGAGGTCAGGATGCCCTAAAGGGTCGTAGCCACATCCATGAGTCTTCTTTCCATAGATTGGAAGCGAGGAGGCATGGGCGTGAGAGCGATGTTAATGGACGATGTGGGAATTTTTGTAGATGGTTGCGTTGCCTGGGGGAGTTGTCAACATTATTCATGAGTTTAAACAAATGGCTGTGTGGCTATCGTTTTGGTGCCAGCTGTGATTTCACTAAATATCTTGCCACCATACACACATTAGGAAAATGTATGTTGTACATACGTGGATGTGTACACGAGCTTTAACTTTTAGAAAAATTATCTAACATTGACGGTTGCATTGAAAGCCAAAATGATCGTCAGAAGATTACATGGCAATTACATTTGTTCACTGGAGATCTTTATAGAATTATAAAAAATAAGTGTTCCAACATCACTTGAAATTTCGTAACTTGTTCAGGAGGGAACTGCATTGCGATATTTGGAAAATTCGTTTTCGAGGAGTGCTTTTTAATCCAAATGAAAACCTGGATCAACTGGATAAACTTAACTTGTATTTAAGGGCTGGTCTTTTGGAATTTTTCCTCACTTGATGCAGTAATTTTACCTGTGACGGTCCCACCTGATGACGGAGACTTGTGTTGCCTCCGAAACGTCGTGATTTATTATTTTATTTCTATTATTACTTCTATTAATTTTATTTTCAATTTTTACCTACGTGACTTTACCAAAAAAGCCTAAGAGTATGAATCCTTGCAGTCACGAAAGCTTCAAATCTAGAATGGATAAACGTCTCTTACGCGAGGAACTCGTTGTTTGTACATGATGAACAGATGACGTTCTCTGGGTTATCCACAATTAAAGGCAGCGTGTCTGTGTGAAGGCAGTGTGTGTCTTGGACAGTTGATGCTGGTGATTTATGATACAGATTCGTTTCCTTTGGCTCGGGAATTCCTCATAAAACTCGTGCCAGATCCCCGATGACTCCCAAGTGCGTGGACTGCCCATTTACATTGAGACACATTTACGCATTCCATTCATCAACACCAGTCTGGCCAAGTGATGCTTGTGGAGGAGTGGGCCTACCCCAGGAGCGATAGCGCAACGGGTTAGCATGCTGCGCTACGAACCCGGCGACCCGACTTCGATTCCTGCTCATGGCCAACACCAGCGACGATTGTCTGAATCAGTCCTGGGCTTGAGTACCTGGTGTGATGTGTAAACATCGCCACTGGGTAGACAAAGGCGGCCGGGCGTGGTGCTGGCCACCCACCCGCTCGTGTGCCGTGCCGGCCTTCATAGGTTGTCACTAACAGGACGTGCCCCTACAGTCTATTAAGGCTATGCGGGGGGGATTCTTGTCTTTGTCTACTCCGAGATCAAAGCTGGGCTTGGAAGAAAGCAGGATGTGGCGAAGAGCTCTTTGAACACAAGACAGCCTCTCCTCCGGCACTGCAGGTGCTCGCTGCTTACCGTTGAAGACCATTTGGAAATTGAAGGGCTCTCCATCGTATATGTCATTGAGGTGCTTCATGGCGATGATGAGACACAACTCCAGCACGGACACCCCTGAAGGGAGGGCACAGAGCTCAGGGTTAGGCCATGATCCCGAGACGCACAATGGCCTTCTGTTGCTATGGATGCCACAGTTTTTTCTTTCTACATCAATATTTTTTTTGTCTCTTTTTTTCAATTTCGTCCCCATTGTGCTATTAATTTTTATTTCACAGGACGGAGGACCCATCCGGAACTCTCGCGGAGCGGTGCAAACCTGGTGTCAGAGAATGACCTGCGGAAGCGGATTACACAGAATTACTTTTGAGGTCGCGCAGTTTGGGCCTCGATCCACACATCAGAGGGCAGCACTTTCCCACCTGGCCTGCTATAAAGTAACGTGCATTTCGTAAGTAAAAGTAATATTTTCATTCTCAAGAGCTGGAATTCCACGAAAGTAAGTCCAGAATTAAGTTTAAAATGGTGGTTTTTGTAGTCATTGGTGACTGGGATGAAACCATCAGCTCACTAATCTCAAGAACCCCGTTTAACCACGGGTGGCTGCCCAATACCGAACCCAGGGACCTCAGCGGTGCTGGCTCAGCACTTTTCACCTCCGAACCACCGGACGCCATCGGTGGCACCACTTAACAGAGTCCTTGAAATTCAAGTCAACTAAAGCCCATCATCAAAATCCCTACAGGGTCAATAAAATGGCACCACTTTGCAGGAAGTTAGTAGCATTAGTCCTGTCCTGTAGATGGAATGGGCAGCCGCTATAGGGCAGAGAATAGCGCTATCCCGATGCTCATTTGCGCAGGAAATCACTTCGACTGTCTTTGAATTGCAGCCGACAGCACACTTTCACAATTCCCCGTTAATTTAACCAGGCACCTTATAAAGATACTGTGACACCGACCAAGAGGATGCCCGGCTGCCTGTACACACGTTACGCATTCGATCCAAATTCGTTTACCTTCTCTGCGATGCAGAATTAAGATCCCGTGATCATTATCAATTTGTGTTTTTTTTAAAGCTATTTTCACGCGTGAAACTGCTTCAAGGCTCGTGCAAAACTGTAATTAAGTGCCACAAATCGTGACAATGAACAACGGCGACAGCATCACATGGCAAATAAAAACAACAAATGTCATGCTGCGTTAGGTCTAACACAGCGAAACAAGACGACTTCACGATAGCTATAGGCTCTGTCAGTAAATTCCAGTGCCTCCATGCTGATATGAGAATAAGGTGGTTAAAATTTCCTAGTTTTATGTGAACAAGTGTTGGCTTCAATGAAAACAAACATAACGACAATGCCAGTGTACTTTATAAAAGGGTATTTGTTCGTGCAAACGCACATGTAATCTTATATGAATGTCACAAGTTGAAAGCTAGCGGTGCCTTGAACCGTGCCACTCGTGAAATTCAGCGGCGAAGCCGCTATAGGACAGGGTGCGGCCTCAGGGCCCCATTGTTCTCGGCGACCCAGCTTCACAGTGACGCCACTTTCCCCCTTGCACTGCCGAGCCGTTTGCCATGCACCAAAAACATAACGTCTTGGAATGACAAATATTGTGAGTTTACAACAGCTTGCTTTTATCGTCAGAAGCCCATGGGAGCTATACACTTAAATCTAGATTGAAAACTAATCTCTTTCGAAGTGCTCTTTGTGTTTTGTTTATATCACGGTTGGCTATGTACGGTGCCAAAGAAGTTCTATATACATCCACACCACTGGCAACATCGGCCACGATTAACCCAGTGCCGGATGAAGTCGTCGCCAAGCAATCCCCATCCCTCACAGTCCTGGGATGCAACGATCTATCCGGAGCACGTGCGCCAATGTAAATCGCTCCACCTCCACGATGGGCGCCTCGTCGTCGTGCAAACCGGTAACGGCGAGTCGAGCAGCCATTTGGACCCTCCGAGGTCATTCTGTTGTTACAAATACATTTGCTTTACGCTATCTTACCCGTCTCCGCCCAGCTACCTACGCCGCCTGAATTCGCTCACGCGGCGTACGTGTGTACGTTGAACTTCTTTCGCACCGTACGTCAGCGACCGTGCCAATCGGAGGTGCTCATGATGAGCACCGTTTGCATGCCGCTGCAGATCACCTTGCAGGAGGTTGGTTACAGAGTCGGCTGTCAGCAGCCGGCTGGCCTCCTGCAGTGCAGCGGCGGATATCCTTGGGGCTCTCAGAGTCACTCGGCTCAGAGCCAGCATCTGCGAGAGACGTTCGGGAGCGGCACCAACACAAAATTAAATTAGTGACAGTAAAAAAATAATCGTCAACTACGCACCGTTTATTTTAGTCTGTGATGTGACCGCAAGTGGACGAAAATCATCGAGCGTGGCGATGACTACGACTGCCTGCGAGAGACCCGAGCACGACTGACAACGACCAGAGGTAATTATCGCATCTGAATGAAGACGCATACAGGGGTAACTAATGTTTTAGAGACTGCAGCACCTCGAGGGAGACCAACATTGTTAATTGGCTATATATATGTAAAGACGTATATAAAAAACCGTACCGAGTTCACCGATTGATAGACGTGGAGGTGAGCGGGGGGGGGGGGTGAATTGCACACACTTTCATACCAATATTTAATAACTAAAGAGTGCTTTACAACACATTTTGATCACGGAAGTCGACTTGACCCAGGATAATTGTTTTTAATCCAGACTATGACGGACTGAAATAAATTGTGCTGGTACACAGTGATTTGCTAAATAGGCAGCCTCTGATAGCAGAAGATTCAAACGTCTTTGAAGCAACCGAGGGCAATCGTGCACAGAAGAATCTTATTACTTTGGTTATTATATTCTTCACACGAACTAATGTTGATTTGACCTCCAAATAATCGCATATTCCTGTCAATGATGGCTTTCTAATGCGATCTAGTGAAACCTCTGCTAACCAGACTAATTGGGAGAGCCCTGGGGTCAAGTCAACTGATCAGTGCTGCTAGCTGCAAAAAAAAAAATAACTATAACCCCATGTTGCTATCGATGTATGATGCATTATATTTATATTTCTGTCAATGTATTAGTCTGTGTAGTGTGTGTGTGTGTTACTGTACAGATCAACAGATCGAAAGCAGTTACGGTGGTATGCCGTGAGCCGTGTACCGTACTCGGATTTGAACTAAAGACTTCGGCATTGCCAGCCCGGGACTAACTTCCAAGCCACCTGGCCACCTCAATATTCCCAACTCGCAGTTAAAACGTGGCCATGTGCGAGGAGGTCTGCTCTGTCCCCTCTGTGCTAGCGCGGGTCTCACCAGTATCGCGTGGAGAGAACGCACGTCTTTGCTCATGAAGTACTGATTTTTCAACACATCCCTGACCGCCTGGTTCTCGCTCAGCATCTGCAAGGTAAACATCGGCCTCGGTCAAGTCTGGTAAAACAAAAACTTCAGTTCACCAAAGCGTTGAGCGGAAAGAGACAAGAGCTAGATGATATCATTTAAGTCAGTGGTTATGCGGTAATACCTGGCTCCAGCCTCACGAACGTGAGCAATTCACATTTGCAAACGTAATTTGTAACTTTGATCATTACGTGTGTGCCCATAGTTCAATGTTAGCATGCAATTTTATTGAGGGACTACTGCTGTGGGTTATCTTGGTGTGGTCTGGGACCGTTTTGTTGTTTTTGCTGCCTTGCCGAAGCTTGATAAATCGGACTTATATAATATAATCTTACCTATACATTTTGTATTCATTTATATTTAGTGATTTTCTTACCATTTTCTCTATCTTGCACGCCTATTGTTTTTTGTATTTTTTGCTGATGTAACTTGCTGCCCTGCACATACTGGACATCTGTGAAACAGAGCTTCATAGCTCATCGGATTCCTCCAGTGTGAATAAAGATTCTGATTCTTAATTGCTTACGTGTGAGAATGAGAAGGAATACACTCATTCATCTTCGCTCCTCATGTTTACCTGTCTTTCGGTGTGTGTGTGTGTATAAAGGTTTTCACATTCCATTAAGTCCTTCCAATGTTATATCACTATTATTTTGGTCGTCTGTTGGAGAGACAAGGCCCTATGGTACATGTGACATTTCTACCACTTGCTCATTTTATTATGGTAGGCACTTTGGCTTTGTTTCGGGACACTTTTTCAGTGGATGCGATTGTCTGATATTGGTTAATGTCTATGGTAGTCGTGGCTGGTTGTGGTGATGCGTGGAGGTGATGGGAGGTGGGTGGTGGTTGTGGGGTGTTGCAGGTGAATGTCTGTGACAGTGGTGGGCTGGTTGTGATGTCGCGTGGAGGCGGCGGGTGACGGCTGTGGGGTTTTGATGGCGATTGCGACAGTGGGGGACGGGGTTGTAAGCGGTGGTTGAGCCGCTGCCGGTAGTGGCAGTGGAATGTGGGCGGCCATCTCGTGGGCACAGTATAGGAACCACCAAACCCGTGGCCACAAAATGTGCTTCATCCTCTGCACGTGCCATCTCCATGGCAACCTCACAGCAACCTCTCGTTTGCCTGGAAAGCTACACAATGGGACCAATTAACCACGGCTAATTGGATTTGTACCACAAATGAGCTTCCACTAAGATTGGAATTATATAGTCAGGATAATATATTAGGCGGGATAAGGACGCACACTCCCACACAATCTAAATAGTCAGTAGGGTGTGACATCCCCTTTAAATAAACGAAAAGGGTCAATACGTTGCATATTCATCTCAATGTAATGGCTGTCAAGATTTGTTTTCATTTCTTAGACTTGCAGTGTATAATGCAGTGCTGCATTTATTAATTACAAATTGCATTATATGGCATGTTAAAATGTATTGCCTTCTAACTCATTGTTCACAATCTGCACTAAATTATGGCCTTCACACATAGGTTTGTATGTTTGTTGAACTTCTTTCGCACCGTACGTAGCCAGCCGTGCTAATCGGAGGTGCGCTGCACGCCTATGGCAGGGTTTTAATGGTGGCTAAGGGTTATGTAATTGCGGATGCAATTGGGAAGAGGGGTCTCTACAAACTGGGACAATGACGAGAGGCAAGAGTCGAATATGAATAAAGACACAGACAGGGATAACTCATCGTGTTTTAGAGTCCAAAAGTTATTTTAAAAACGTGCCAATTAGTTACTCGTTCACCGCACTGGTGTTGTGGAGAGTAAACCCACAACAGTTACAATGAGTACGCCGTTTCACTGGTTATTACAACCAGCTTCATCACGCGAAAGCCTAAGTGTTAAAATGCTTTAAAAAGACTGCAGCGCACTGAGGAAGACCAAACATGGTAATTGGTTATTTATATGTATGTACGTGTATAATTATAAATATTTAAAAATACTTTTTTTAAAACACGCTTTAGTGAAATGTACCATACTCGTAATGGCAAAACTTCACGACTCCAGGAAGTGGCCACAAAACTTGCCATAACGTAAGGGGCAGTGGTGATTTACAGCCAACGTCAGTTGTGCGTGGATAATTAGACCGAAGCCGAAACATAACATAAAAAAATCATGTAAATTTTTTTTTTTTAATAGAATAAAGTATTGTCATCAATATGACATAAGTATACCAAGTTTGCAGTCGATACCACATTACCACATTGGGAAGTGGGTTAAAATTGAGTTACAAGATTTGAGGATACTCCGACAACAACAACAACAGACAGTGAGTTCATAGAAAGCGTGTAATAAAAATACGTACCGAGTTCACGGATTCGTAGACGTGACAGTATGGGGGTTACGTGTGCAGGACAAGAGTGCAGACTGCCAGAGACGGTCGTTGAGTGGGGACCTAGAGATTGTATTGTAAGAGTGCACCGGGGATGTTGGATGCTGTCTGTGCAACACGGTCAATGTGGGATTAGGCAGAAGTGACGGCGGTATATGGAGGCATCGGTGCCATGGGGCATTATGACCTGTCGACAACGATAACGCTCTGCATGTTTTTTTTAGGGTTTATGATTCGTGCTGATTATTTTCTCGATTACAGACCCCGGTACAAATTGTGTTATAACCATAACTGCAATTTTACGATGTTTACACCGACCTTTTGTGTTATTTCAGTCGGAACTATACCGCATGCCCAGTGTTAACGCGCACCAAATGCTTATGTAGGTGGGTAACGTGACTCTCAAGGATTCTGGCCACTTCAACTATCAGTTCACTCAGTTCAACACGATTTTTTTTATAAGCAATGCAGTGCATTCATGCTGCCTAATGGGATGCCAGCACTGAGGGGGATGAGAAAAATGTGCTCCTGTAAAGTCGCACAAAGGCCAGTGCACTCTGACATGTGCCACATGCTAAAACGAATCTATTTAATTTTTTTTACCAGATAAGGCCCACCGAGCTGTATAGCTCTTTTTTAGAAGCGACCTGGCTATCACGAATGATAGCTAAACAAAGTGGCTTATCACGTGGAAATGTATAACAGCCAAATCCTCTAAAACACGTGTTTATTCTAAATGCGGAGGGACAAACCAAGCACAGAGAGAGAGACGTACAAACTCCAAATATATAGCAGGAGTTCAAGGTCGGGATCGAAGCTACTACCTCCTGCATACCGGACAAGGGAGTTAAACATCTCGCCACCGTGCGTCACCCTCGGGTGGTCGGGCTCCGCAAGCCTCACCTGGACGCTGTCGTTCCAACTTTTGGCGAAAGCGACGTCCGGAAAGGCCTGCGGCAGCGTAAGCGTCTGGCAGAACGCGGCGACGTAGTCGTCAAACTTGGGGCAGGGGAAGACGTGGATCTGCCGATGGGAGAAGCGCGACTTCACACGCTTCTCCAGCAGCTCCAGCACATCCTGTGGGCGGGGGCCGCAGGGAACTCGGCGTTAGCCACGCGACGCGCCCACGGCAACCGGGGCCGGACGGGGTGGAAGGTGGTCGCGTCCCCGGTGGGATCGTGAACTTCACACATTTCCAAGGCCTCATTCCACATGTATCCTTTGTGCACATAATTTTATTTTATTACCATGGACTATGATTGAACACATTTTCCTGTTGCTTTTCCTTGCCAGTATGGGTCACGTTATGTTTTAAAGATATTTATGGCTGCTGTTGACTTAAGAAGTCTCCATCTTTTATTGTACTGTAAACGGAAAAAAAACTTAATCAAATAATCCTGCTGTAAAAATTTGATAATGCTTCTTTTGAACTGAAAATCCACTCTTTGTTTTACCACACCTATGCACAGCTGTGGACGTTCCCATGGTCCCTTGTATTCAACTCGACCGCAATCCTCTTTTAAACCTTTTTATGCAACGTACATTTTGACCCCCCACCATAGGGATGTGGAATTTCGACTGCTGGCACAACACCGCTAAATGAGACGAGCATTGGCCAGCACCCACCTGTGTGGGAATACAATTCTACTTGACTTTAGTAACTCGCCCGACAACTAACCCTCAAGTCAGCAGAGGCATTCGAGTTGTTCTGATTAAATACATTTCAGTCAAAGTGTCTCCCTGCTCAAACAGGAACGAGGGCAGTGCTCATCTCAAATTCACAGCCATGAGTCAGCAGTGGAAATCACACATTTATCTTGCAGGGGCCAGTCTCTCTATGGGAAAACTAATGCTAAACACTGTTATCGAGCTTCATGAAGCCTGCGAGCGAGTGATTAACCAGAAGTCGGGATACGTGACGCTCAGCAGTGGGCCAAGGCGGTTGATTAATCAGTACGTAACTGAGCCCAAGGCGCGCACACACACACAGCCAGACCAGCTGAGAGGGCCCACTTCCCACTATAGCCAACGGTGCTCCAGCAACCGTCGGATATCTGTGAATAAAAATCTTTCACCCACAAACTTCCTCATCTGATCGAGCCTGCAACAGCGGTTGGTTAATTTTAAGAGACCGTTAAGCAAATTGCCATGCGGGTTTCCTCATCATTAGCACGCTTGCTATCAAGCCAAACACATTTAAAAGTTTGGTGATTTTAATTAAATTCAATAGGTTCCTGCATTTCCAATAAAACAAGATTCAAAGTGGTCCAAGGGTGTCCACTAGAGGGCATGCTAAGCCTGTGAGAATCCCCTGAAAGTAAATGGAATTTTTGTTTAACACGATATCCTGCAGGCATTGCCTACGGTGGAATCGTGGAATTCAAATACGATTCCTGCAGCAATCACCCGGCACTTACAATATCGAGTGCATCTAGTCAAATGCCCAGTTACTTAAGATAATAAAAATGTTCAGCAATGAGCTGCATAAGTTGTGAAATTATATTGCATAAGGATTCAATTACCGGAAGGCTTTAGGGCTCATGAAAGTTAACCATTCGCAGCCAGTCCCCGACTTACAAACACCAGACTTACGAAGCATGAAACACACGAACGAGCTTCCATAACTTATACATTTTTAACCGTCCAACTTGCAAATGTGAGCTCGCACTTGTGAACCGAACCGCAGAACTATTTGGTTCAGCAAATGTACAATATTTATTCTTAATTATAAGTTTAACAATGCTTCCATTTTTTGTTGAACTGTAACACATTTCATAACACTGACCGTTTGGGCATTTAAACACAGTGCATTATTGCATTCCGATTTTACGAACCGTTCGACTTATAAACGTGGCATGTGGGTAACATGGACATATTTGAGTCCTATTTAGGCATATTGCTACGTTGTGTTCATTATGGGGCGCATAAATGATGATTGTTTTCTTATGGCCATTTTTAAAATCGTTATTTACGTATTAATATTAATCTTTTATTTGTTTTATTTGATAAGTATTGTTTTTTTTTATTATCTGTTTAAGGGACTGGCTAATTGATTTGCAGCATTGTGGGATGCAAATGCATGCATGACGCTATGTAAAATGAAACTTATTCTTTTTTTTATCAATTTCTGTTTTCCAAAGGCTCTCCACCGTGGCACCACCCCATTCTCTTCAATGTGCCCTATTCTCTTCAGCGATCTTGTCAATGTCTGCGGGCACGAAGGCCGAGCTTGGACAGCACTCGGATGGGCAACTACTATGCACGGGGCGTTGTTGTTATAGGGTGTGTCTACAGGGTGGGCAGCAGAGGGCAGTGCAACACAAACTGCTGCCTTGTAAGTCTATACACTGCCTATCTTCACCGACTGCCCAGGATGGTAAAGTGTGGTCAAATAACCCCACGGAGTAGGGAAGCCTTCATCTAGCAATGGATTGACAAAAGGAGATGCTGCACACGTGTATATATATACACACCCATGGTGTCCACATAGACTCATCAACACGACTGCAGTGAACCCATTCATACAGCTTGGAGGACAAAGGTCGGGGCGCCACAATGTTGCGATGTTAATTATCTCACCTGGTGTACAGGAGGTCGTGGGCTCGATCCCGACCCTCACGCTTGCATATTTGGAATGTGCACGTTCTTCCTGTGGTCGTGTGAATTTTTCTTCGGGTCCTCCGGATTTTCCCTCCCACATTTAGAATCGATATGCGTTTAGAGTATTTGATTGCTAAACATTTCCACGTGACAAGTCATTTCTTCGAGCTATCATTTGTGAGTGGTTCGCTTCTGAAAAAGCTATATATAGTTCAGTGGGCCTTACATGGTGAAATAAAAAAAAGCATAAAACACACGTAAACATTTGTAATGCATTCACAACAGGACTTACCAAGCGGCATGTGAGTCCCACTACAGCAATGGGCGTCTGGGCAGACTTTGCCACGTCGAACAGGTTGTAGAGGAGTGCCTGGTTCTTGTGCTGGACGAACAGATCGAACTCCTCCAGCACAAACAGTACGGGGCGAGTACTGCTCCGCTCGCCTGCACACGACACAGTTTATTGGCAACGTACGGTGCGAGAGAAGATCAACATACATACATAGCATACAAACCCAGCTCCCGGTTTCCAGTTGCCATACCCACACGATGGCAACAATCTAAATCAGTGTTCTTCATTGCAAGGCCCGCGGGCCACTTACGGGCCTTGGTGGCCTTTAGTGCGGCCCTGACAATACTCAAATGTAAAAATACCCCCATCATGCTGTCAAACCCAATGGTTTCAAATGTGTGGCAGACCTCACACTGATGTCTTATCAGCCAAAGTGCCACCCCCCCCCCCCCCCCAAAAAAAAAAAAATATGTAAAGAACACAATTAATGCGTCCGATGCAGAATGAAGATCGCCCCATAACCAGTTGTCAGTCATGAGTGTTGTTTGACTATACTTCATCACGCTGGTCAGCGTGGGTTGGTGCATGGGGTGGTCCGGTAAAGCTATCCATGGCCGGGAATCAGACCCATGTCACCCGATTCGTAGCAGTCTGCAAAGCAACGCACTACTGCTCCACACCACCTCACACAATGGGTGCTGCCTAATCCCAATTTAACTTCAGGGCTGCATTTCAATCTAATAGGATGATGGCTTGCCAACTGTAGAGGAATAAACGAGCGAATCAAACCCAACGAGAATTTTAACACCTTCCGGGCAGTATAATTCACTCCTTTGTCATATTAAAGCTGGTCATTTTTTTTTACTACGAGTGTGCCACTATTTAAATACATCAAGCTTTCATTTATCAAGAGGGACCCGAGACAATAGTTCACGCTTACCGCTTTTTAATGCTGTCAGCAAAAAGGTGAGATTCTCCGCAAAACTCCCCTGGAAGACAATTGGTGTACAACCTCGGGTAAGACACTGTTCCACACCTTGGCAACTTCCAATTCCCCAGTCCCCCCACCAGCCAGCCTGGTCAGGGAGAGCTTTAGCAGTTAAAATACATTTGCACTTACGGCACGATAGAGCCGAACACTAATAAAGCTCAAATTGTGCAAAACGCACTCCGACTCAATTACTTAACGGCTATTTGACGAATCACACAGTGGAGCAGCGACCGCGGGCATTTCAACACTGGCCCGGCACGCGGCATTGCTCGTACAATGAGAAGGACGTGGGTGTAAAGCTCACAAACACTTTGTCCCCGACTGTGTTCTCCAGCTGAAGCTGCCGCGTGATTTCCTCGAGTGAAATGCGGTCGTCCTTCTGCAGGAGGCCTGGACGACAGCCGAGCGCACAGCACGCGCGTGAGTAGAGGCACACCTCGTGGCATTAATTACTCCGCCTGCGGCTACACGCGCATGCACACACAGTGCGGTGAAAGCACCACTGCCACATTCACAAGCTGCACACTGCATTTGTAATTGCCAAGGCAATGATCCCCCATATCGCCTTTAACAGAATGTTGGGGCAAGCGCTGTTAGCGAGCACCTATGAAGGCTGGCAAGGCCCATGAGGGAGTGGCTGGCCAGCACCATGCCCCCGGCCAACTTTGCCTCTCCAGTGGCGATGTTTACACATCTCACCGGGTACTCATTTGAGACCGAGTTGACCTAGGGGAGGCCCAGGACCGATTCAGATCATCGTCACTGGTGTTGGCCGTGAGCGGGAATAGAACTCGGGTCGCTGGGTTGTAGCGCAGCGTGCTCGAAGCAGAATCAGAATATTTATTCATACTGGAGGAATCTGATAAGCTATAGAGCTCATTTTCACAAATGTCCAGTTGGGGCCGGTAGGTACGTTACAACAACAAACAATACAAAAACATTACAGTAGTGCCAAGTACAATAAAGGTAAACAAATCACCCACAACATACAAATAAAATAAACCATCCCATTTCTAGCAGGCAAAGCCCACTGAGGTATGAACTTATTTTTCAGCAGCGACAAAGTGGCTAACCATTGCAGTACAGCTCAACACACACACACGCACACTTTGTGACAATATGAAGTAAACAGGTTTGGTGGATTGTTTAATCACCAAAGTAATGTAACTTTTAATCCATGGACCAATGGGCAAACTCCATTAGTATGCTTTGGGTCTTTTGGTAAAGCCACGTAGATAGAACAAATATTTTTTTATTAGTTGTTCTATCTACGTGGCTTTACCGAAAGACCCAAAGAATATTAATTCCTACAGTCACGACAGCTTTAAGTCAAGATTTTAACTCCATTAGGTCCAGCAGCTTCCTCCACAGTCATTAAAGTTACAACCACTGTATGAGCAGTAAACAGTTTTTCATCCTCAGTATAGAAGGGTGCCCATTTACAGAAATGCGGACTTTGCACGACCGACTCACGGCAACCAAGCAAGGCTGACTTTTTTCAACGGTTTTACTTAACTTGATTCCTGTGTCGTGGTCAAATCGTCGTCAAATCTTGCAATCTACATTTCGTCCACTTCCCACTGTTCAATCAATCCCCAATGTTGCACACGTACTCAGATCCGGTGACAATGCATGCCTGTATCAAATTCGGCATCAATTAATCAATTAATTGCCTCCTTTAAAGCAATTAACATTTTGTATGGACGACTTATTAATTTTATACATTTGTGGCGGTCAAAAACGCCGCGGTCCCTAAACTCTGGAATCGCCTCGCCCAAGAAGCAGGCGCCACGTGTCTCAGGCGCACCTGCTCCAGTGTCAACGAGTTACGGAAGTAATCAATGAATTCAAGTAAGCGCTGATGTGGGAGCAGGCGCTGCATCATTGACATACTTCTTGACCGTGAATAAAACCGTTTTAAAAAAAACTTTTTTTAAGGAATTTATTATTATATTCTTGGTTCTTTCGGTAGTCACGTAGAAGGGAAATAACAAAGGAATAAAAATACAACATAATAAAATACAAATTTAATGTTACTTTATTATTTCCCTTCTACGTGACTTTACCAAAAGAACCAAGATATAAATCCCTGCAGTCACGAAAGCTTTAAATTGGAGTTTATTATTCTTATACTAATCTGATGGGGGAGGCACTATAATCATGTAGGTGGTCCTCCAATGCAGGACATTCAAATTTTTCCATTGTGATATTTTGCTGATATTGGACAATTCCTACCGTATGTAAGAGAAAAGAAGATTGCCCAGAGAAACCCATGACGATGTGCATGAACCCAATTCAGCGACACATGTAGATGAGTACCACCCACCGTTCAGATGAACCTGCATGAGGTTCTCTCGGATGGAGTTGTTTTCCAGCAGCTCCTTCAGCACGCCTTTCAGAAGCTGCAGCGGCAAAACCAAACAAATTAGCACCAAGGACCAGCCGCTAAACACCAGTGGGAAACGGTGAATGAACCAACATGTTTTCCCCTGGATATGTCCTTCTAACCTCTTTGCAATGTCCACATAGCCTGGAACAGTTACCATGTACCTATTGACATCGTCCATTAAAGGCAAATTCAACATTTTCATGGCAAGGGCCAGCCTATCCAAAGGACAAACCCAGTTGTCAAAGGTGAACCAGGTTGCCCCTCAACTGGGAATTGAACTCGCAACGCCTCCTGACTGCGTGATGTTTGCCAACACGACACCACGCAACTGCATATACTGGGCCCCAATCCTCACGCGAACAACTTTATTTCAATAATCACAAGGGCCCTCACCATGGATTTTCCCGAGCCACGGGAGCCGACCACCAGCACGGAATTGCCTTCCCCCTGTGTGGCCGTTCGTTTGAGCATCTCCAGCAAGTGCCTGCCAACATGCACACAGGGACATGGGCAACGAGTGCCATTGCTGCTCAATATTGGGCCAAAACTCAATACAAGTCAAAGACAAACGTGATTCCCTGCTCAAATGACCATTGCGGCGGATCTCATCTCCGATGGAAACAATTGGTGGAAATTTCACGTGCCCAAGGCAGGTGCCAGTCATTGCATAATAGGGCAACCAATGTTCATTTCTCGCAGTAGTTAATCATTTTATTAATCCTGCAGAAAAACCTCCGAGAAAGATTTGAACTCGAACCCGGAGCACTGCACCTTTCAGCCAGATCCATAACGTCACAACAACTCCTTGTGAGAGGTGGAGGGCTTCCCGCATTTGGGTGGCCTTGTTTAAGCCCCATCAATTGACAGCTGAGGGCCCATACGTTGCCTGGTAAGAGAAATGGTGTCAATCTGTGCTGAAAGAGCCTGAGTTTCACAAAAATAAATACAACTCTCTCTAGTTGTCTATCATCTATTTACACACAGATGCAGCCCAGCATGAAAAGGATTATACTCATCTGCCTGTGACAGCTAATTACTACTCAGTCACTATATTACATTTTACGACTGAAATGGCTCCAGCCATTAACGTCAGGAATATTCCTAAGCACTGCTTAAATGAAGACTCAATTTGCACTTAGATGTGCAAACCTCGATCGCTAATCGCTCTGAAAATGGATTACACAGCATCTTTCTCAAGCATTGCTGCTAAATACAGAAGACGAACGAATGCCTGTCATGAGGCTGTGAACGTGTCACTTGTAATGAGGTAGCCTTGCAGTCGGAGGCGACTCCACAAACGCAGTGGTCTTGTACACCAGGGAAATTATGCCGCTTTGATTAGGTGAGTGGAAATCTGGTTGGGCTGTTAAATTTCGTGATGAAATGCTATCAAGAGCAGGTGTTTTTCTATTCAATTGAGCTCGATGTACATTTCAGGATTTAAAAAAAAATTATTCGAGCTGCGTATCGTGAGATGGCACCCCAGCGCCATCCAGCTGAAAAGAAAAGAGCACGAATAAACGGCAAGATGATGCATGCGCAGTGCCTACTTGCGTTGGGGCTCCATGTACAACGGGATGCCGGTGAGCGCCCCATGGCACAGTCTTTCTCGCAGACACTTGTGCACCTGCGGAGCGGTGGCAAGTAACAACCACCGCAGTCACAATCTGCGCAGTTACACATGTTGACAGGGCATAATAAAAACGACGACAGAGGCGATTTGCTTTACACGAGTGAACGTATTCTGAAAACTACAGGAGGGAAGTAAAAGTTGACATAACTGGTGAACGTTACGAGGAAGGACTTGGGTAGATATTTCCTAGAGCGGTGCAACCTTTCATGTTAAAAATGTCCCACCGAAGTGGACATCACAGAGCTACTCCTGACAGCCCTTAAAGTGGACCTTTGGTTTACAGATCATATGGGTATCCCTTTACCATCTGTTATGATTTCTTCGCTTTACAGTTAAACCGATATTTTGGCACAACTTTCCAACCATGAGTCAAGCACAACTAGCCATCAGTGCCATCTGGCTGGATAGAGACAGCAAGCATGTGGTTATGATACAATGCCAGAATAAACATTGTGGTAGTGCTGACCTCCGACACGCATTGATCCAGTGGTAACTCAGCATTTTTATTCTTTTTCTTGCTCATGGCAGCTCGTCCGGGCGTTCACCCTGAAAGTCGCAGAATTAGTGTCAGTGATTCATCGTATAATCCAGAAACATAGGTAACCCCAGTCCTTCTAAACCAGTCAATTCCACATTATATTTGCTACTATCACCGCTGTTGCCACAATGGTGTTTTATTGAATATGGAAAAAGATGTGATAAATAACGTTCCCAGTAATTATCACCTGCAATGAAATCAATCAAGCCAAATGTGACAAGTGTGCTGTGGTGAAGTAATCACTCAAGGTGTGTGCACGTTTTTGAGCGTACTGACACTGGGATGACTGTCATAATCAAGCATTGTCTTGCGGTCGCAACACCCATTGGGTTAGAGATGCATGAGCAATAGCTGTTCCACTCACGCACTGTACTGTTCTTACCTCGTGTCTCAATATCATCACGTTATTCGTTCACGTCCGTTTCGACTTAGTATGTTTTAGCATGTAATGTATGCTAAAAAAAACGTTATTCTTTTGAGGCACATTGGTAATGCTGCTTTTTCATGATTAAGTTCAGCGTTCAAAAATCAATCCGACCGATTTTCCTGTAATAGCCGTCCTGAGCCCAAATTGGCATCATCCTTTGGGCCTTATCACGTCTTTGCATGGGGATCATTGATAACCAGAAACAAAATCTGCTCCGCTTGTTACGCTGTTGGCAGTCTTGACAATGCTGTTATTTAAGCATCTATATACACCAGCTAAATACTCTACACGGAAACCCCGGAGGACAAGGAGAAGAAACCCACGCGCCCACGGGGAGAGAGACATGCAACTCCAAATATACAGCAGGCGTCAGGGTCGGGATCGACCTCCTTGTATACCAGGCGAGGGAGCTAACATCTCCCCACCACGGCGCTTATGTACACATGAAGCAGAGCCAGATAGACTCCCAGAGGCCACGGTGGAAGTAGCGGTACCAGCAGTGGCCGCAATTACCAAAAACTAAGCGATGCCCTTCAGATTCCCGAAGCACGGGAGCAAAAGATAAGCACAAACTCTTTGCATACGAAGAGGCGAGCGCGCTTTGTGAATGCAGCGATGCAATCCGTTCACGTCTCAAGTCAACGAGCGGGTACCGCGCAAGATCACAACGCATGCACAAAAGGCGCTGGACGGCTTCGAATTCTGCTCGCGAGTGACGGGGGTTAAACAGCCGAGCAAAGAGCGGCGCATGTTCAAGTTCATTTATTAGGTATAGCCCTGTGAGCCATTCGGCTCTTGAATCGGGTGCAACCGCAACAAACAAAAACATGAACAAGAAAACATCTTAAAGTGAATATGTGACTAAGTGTACCGTGAGGATGGCGGTGTGCTCGCCGGAGCCGAGTTCCCACCTGGGAGCTACTGGCGCGACCTAGAGAAGTCGGCTTGTGGCGAGAATACCCCCGGTAGCGTCGGCGTGACAGCACCGTTACCACCGTCACCACTGCCACTACCACCGTCACCACCACCGCCACTACCACCGTCACCACCACGGCTGTCAGCAATTCATCGCCAAAGTCGCGTGTCAGTTTCCCGCGCTTTTTACACTTCCGGGTAGCGACGTCACCAAGCGCGAGGCGCCGCTCGCTGCTGGACCAATGGGAGCGCAAAGCGTGGCCACGTGACTAGACCCTGGTTGGACCCGACGATTATCGATTTAAAGCTTTCGTGATTGCAGGGATTTATATTCTTGGTTCTTTCGGTAGAAGGGCAACAATAAAATAATACAAGTAAAACAATAACTTGTATTACTTTAGTATTTCCCTTCTACGTGACTTTACCGAAAGAACCAAGAATATGATCATCCGGAATGTTTATTCAAACTGGAGGAATCCGTAAATACATATTTTTTTGTTTGTTATATTGCGTTTAGAACGCGACACGTTCGTGAAAGCCAACGTGTGTTAAAGTGGAGGAATCCGATGAGCCGAAAAGCTATTTTTGTCCAGTAGGGGGGGGGGGGCAGACGTTACAACAGCAAAGCAAAAACACAATCATAACAAGGCCAATTTACCCGAAACGTCGCATCTTATGTATTTTGTTTTTTTATTTTAAGGCCACTGTCAGTGACGAACATGGTTGTTTTTGTTTTTTCTTGCTTACGCACCACTGCCAACGCATCAACAGCAGCAGCATCACCAGATGATTCGTTTAAACATCTCAACCGGTAACGGATATCCATTGTAATTTATATGTATTCACGTGAAGGGCTCACGAGTAACGCCATCACATCTATGCCTCTATTTAAGGAACGAAACAGGAAGATTTCCCCACAAATCTGGCTGCCGCCTGATGATGCCGGTTGTAATTACTGCCGAAACGTCGTACTCGGATTGTAAATGTTGCAGTGGGTTTACTCTCCAATACACAACCGGCTGGTTGCTGTGCTAGTAACGAATTGGCATGTTCTGTTTACGTTACAAACTTTAATAATTGGCTATGTCGGGTGGTGGAGGGTTTAACGACACAACATTTATATTTACGCCTCTTAGAGATTCCTCTTGTCATGGAGTCCCGAGCCTCAGGGTTGGTTGCCATGGAAACCGGATCTCTGATTCGGGACCCGGATCCCCCCGCCGGTTGCTATGGGAAACGCCTACCCCCTCTCCCCCAGGCCCCCACCCCCATGCCCCCACCCCCTCTCCCCCAGGCCCCCACCCCCATGCCCCCACCTCCTCTCCCCCAGGCCCCCACCCCCTCTCTCCTACCCCCTCTCTCCTACCCCCCTCTCCCCCACCCCCATGCCCCCACCTCCTCTCCCCCAGGCCCCCACCCCCTCTCTCCTACCCCCTCTCTCCTACCCCCTCTCCCCACCCCTCGACCTTCGTCACGCCCCACCCCCTCTCTCCCTTACCCCCTCTCCACCATGCCCCCACCCTCATTTCCCCCAGGTCCCCACCCCCTCACCCCCTCACCCCCTCTCTTCTACCCCCTCTCTCCCATGACCCCTCCCCCACGCCCCAACCTCCTCTGCCCTCACGCCCCTCCCCACGTCCCCTCCCCCACGATCTCACACCCCCCCACCCCCTTTTCCCCACGCCCCTCCCCCAGGGCCACGCCCCTCCCCCCACGCCCCACCCCCCTCTCTACCACGCCCCCCACGCCCCCACCCCCCTCCCCCACGCCCCCACCTCCTCTCTACCACGCCCCCACCCCCCTTCGCCCCGCCCCCACCCCCTATCTCCCAGGCCCCCACCCCCTCTCTACCACGCCCCCCACGCCCCCTCCCTCCACGCCCCACCCCCTCTCTACCACGCCCCCACCCCCCTTCGCCCCGCCCCCACCCCCTATCTCCCAGGCCCCCACCCCCTCTCTACCACGCCCCCCACGCCCCCTCCCCCCACGCCCCACCCCCTCTCTACCACGCCCCCACCCCCCTTCGCCCCGCCCCCACCCCCTCTCTCCCAGGCCCCCACCCCCTGTCCCCCGCAACTGTTTCCGGTCCTGCTCGCAAGCGGTCAATATGGCTGAGCTGTTCCCCAAGCTCCGTGTAAGACTCCGCGACGCACGCGCGTTTCATGTCGACGGCCTCGGGGCGAGACGAGGCGCGGGTTTCCTCGGTAGCGGGGAGACGCCGGGTCCGCGGGGGAAAACGCGGGCGGGCCCTGTGCTCCCTGCGGGCGCCTCGCTGGGTCGGGCCCATTCCACACTCAGGCGAGCGAGCGCCTCGATGTGGATGTGGGCCCTCGTGGTCTTTGCCGCTGTTATTGTTTTTTTGATGTTATCGTGGTTGACGATCATAGCGGGGCGCGCCTTTATAAACTCGTTCGCGATGCACGATGCGTTTCGTGGTGGGCGAACGTTGCGCGCTCAAGTGTTTTTGGTTGAATCGTTTGGCGGGTTGGTTGGTGCCATACGCCAACTTGGATACCACAGGGACAGTAATGAGGCCTTCACTGTCGCTTTACCTCACCCACCCCGTGTCGCTCTCAAAGCTCGCATTTTCCTTCTCTCCCAATCTCATCCCCATGACTTTTCCATCTTCGTGGTCTCCATATGTCCACGCTCACGTGAATTTTAATTTACCGTGTCATTCTATTTCTCCCCCAAAAAAGGTGAATTGCTATAAGCGCATGCTTTCGGACGTGGGACAACATTGTGTACTGTATGCATTGCATCTTGTGGTTTCGCTTTGTGCGCCCATGATTTAGAACGCATACAGCGAGGGAAACCTCTACTCGGCTATCAGTCATCTGACTGGGTGAGAAAACCTGGTCGATGATTAATATCGTATTGAACTGACATTCCAAGTTATATTCCCATCCTTAATTTTAAGCTTTCGTGACTGCAGGAATCCATACTCTGGTTCTTTCGGTAAAGTCACGTAGGTAGAACATTTTTTCTATCTACGTGACTTTACCGAAAAATAATATATTTTTTTCTACCTACATGACTTTACCGAAAAAACCAAAGAGTATGTATTCTATTTATCCCATCCTATTTAACAAATTATAGTTTTATCCATAGACTAGTCTGCTATCAAAACTGTATTGGAATGAGTGTACAGTATTACTAATCTGGCTAAGGAAGCATCAAGAAGCCTTTCTTTTTCGTGCAGAAGCCTTCTTTAAAGTATGACCTTATCACAAACTTTCAGAGTTTTGCTGGTAGCTTTATTTTTTGGCCTCTGCTTGGAAACTGCATTTAAAATAGCAAAAGTCTTCAATCCCCTCTCACTTGCCTTGCCTTCCCATACCTATTTTATGTTAGTTTCGTTATCTAATACATTGCATGTGTTTCTGTTGATTTGAAGCCTATGCTTCCTGATGGCTTCAAGTACAAGGTGGTCAGTTATGAAGATGGTCCTGCTGAGCAATTTTGCTCAGAGTTGAGGGTGTCAATTGACAACAAAGACGCCACCTTGGATTGGATACGAAAGTTTGAAGCCACATCTATGGTGACCTGGAGGATTCGCCACACATTTCCTGAAAGTGGCCGTAAGAATATCTTTAAGGTACGCATTGTTCATCTCCACTAAGTTGAATAAGTTAAACTATAAAAGTAACAATATTTTAACGAGGAATTTACATTTCCTATGAAACCAGAGAATGCCTGTGCATATGAGGAGATAACTCAAAAGTCCAAACCGACTCTCGTCAGAATTAAATTTTCTTGTCTGCCATCTCAAAGTCTTATGAATTTGGTATGATCCACCGACTCTGTTTATATCTGAATTACATGCTTGTGTCTCCATGTCTGCTGTTGCAATCTTTGTTTTGCAACATGTACATCAAAACATAGTCCTTTAAAATAGTATACCAATTCTATGGCATGACAAGCACATCTCACCAATCGGTGCACTTGGATATGTCCATGTGTTTACACCAGTCTTGCACTCAAAAATGTAAAACAACTTTTTTAGGAACAATTACAGAATTGGACCAATATTAAAATACTGAATATAGTAGAACTTATGGCCATATTTGCATAGTGGTGATTGTTAATGTATGCAAAATGTGCTTTATGGTCAATTAAAAATGCCCATTTAAAGCTTCATCACATAAATATATAGTGCTGTTTATTATTGCCCATACAATAGTTTGCATTTTTAAATATGCAATTGTTTTTTGCCACTTTGAAGCGGCTAACACTTACAATTATATTTCAGAACAGTTATCGTTGCCAGCACAAGACTAATGTAAGGCGAAGCTTGGATGCCAAGAGGACTTACAGGACCAAAAACACCAACTGCCCTGCTGTGATGACCGTCATTCTGAAGCGCTTAATGGTGGTGGGAAAAAGCAGGTGAAGTGTTTTGAGGCTTTTATTTGCTATTTTTAAAGAAATATATTAACCATTCAATTAAGTACTCCAACCGAGTGCCACCTTGCCAGTTTTATTTATTTTCAATCAATATCTACGAATAAAGGTCAACATGTATAATAGTGGTTAATAGTTTAATATGGATGTGTAGTACTGGGAAAATTGGACAAAGCGTTGTCTCTAATTGCCTAATTCTGCATTAAAGGTCCAAGGACAAGCTGTTGCCAGACTTTCCGCTGGTGGTGAAACTTACCTTCAAACACAATCACCCAATCAAGGCAGCAGACACCCTGAAATACCGGGACGTGGCAAAAGAAACTCGAGAGAAGTTGCTGAGGCTCTTCAAGTCGGGCTACACACCGTCGGTGGCACGCGACATGATGCAGGATGACCTACAGTTGGAGGCTGCCGATGAATACAGCCTCAAGGCATCTGACCGCTCGGTCTGCCCGGACATCAGCTTCTGCTTCAGGTGTCTGACCACGATGCTTTGTTAGGGGGAGGATGGTTACGTATGTGTCTCATTTGAGTGTAAGGCTGTGATTCTGTTTGCAGCGTGACTTCGTACAAAGTAGTATTTATTTTGTTAACCAAAAGGGTAATGCTCATTATTTTGGTAATGTAGAAAATCTTATTCGGTCTGTTATCTTTTAGTATATATGTACTGATTAAATACTTTCTTGTTTAGGCACATTGATTTGTTCCAGTTCATTATCAAATGCAGTTTTCTAAACACCCTCCAAATGTGCTTTCGTGAGGCTCCTTATTTCATTGTTCCGCTTTCAGTATCTTCCCTAGATATTCTGTTGTCCAGTTTCCCCTCTCTGACTTTATTTAATTGCTTTATTAATAGGTGATGATTTTGAGAAAGCAACTCATAAACAGATCAATGTTAAGATTGTTTTAGAATCTTTGGGAAAATTTACTTTTTTATATTGAGACCTTTGTCATATTACTACATTTTATTAGCTATCAGTTGCTTTATCCATGCTCAAAAACATGCCATGTCTTTCCACAGTTTGTATTACCAATCATTCCAGAAGGTTCGCCGAATGAGCACCGGAAATGAAATGCTGCAGGATGTGTTGAGGCGTGCTGACGAGTACAACCAGGAGCTGGGCAAGGAGTGCGTCAGGATGCAGATGATCGGCGAGCAGAACTGTGTCATCGCCGTCTGCACTCCCTTCATGGCACGCGTCCACACGTTGGCACAGGCGGCAGACGTGGCATTCGTTGACTCCCCGGGTGGAATGGATCGTCGGCACTGCAAGATCTTCATCTTCCTGGCGCACTCGCCCGTTGGTGGATTGCCCTTGGGCTGCCTCATTACAACCTCTGAGGCAGAGGAGGTCATCCTCACGGGCCTCAAGCTGCTGCAGTGCCTCTGGCCACCCAACGCATTCTGTGGGAGGGGCCCGTTTGTTGGGCCGCAGATTTTCATCGCCGACGACACCAAGGCGGAGATGAACGCGATTCGAGGCGCCTTCCCCGGCGTGCCGCTGCTGCTCAACATCTTCCATGTGCTGCAGGCGGCTTGGCGCTGGCTTTGGAACCGCATGGGTGAGGTCCCGATGGGGCATCGCTCTCAGCTCTTCTTCTGGGTGAAGCGTCTGATCCACGCCGAGACGATCAGTGACTTGACGGAGCAGCTGCAGCTAGCTCTGCAGTACCCACTAGTGGTGGAGCACACCAGATTCCAGCAGTACATCACCAAGCTGTTTGAATGGCAGAAGGAGTGGGTCCTGTGCTGCATCACTGGACTTCCATCACGTGAGGCAGCAATGAGAATCCTCAAAGACAAAGTACTCTACAGGTACAATCTATCAGTATTTGACTTCATTTTATAGAGATGTATTTAATTATTTTGTGGAATTGTACCACATAGGGGTTTTGCCTGTCTCATTCCTTGTTTGTTATGTCTGGATGGGTGGGTTGACTACCTGGCCTAATAGGGGATTGCTCACTGTCCCAAGGTGTGAATTTTAGCTGAACATTTCAGTTAGTACAGGATTCTATGCATTTGCGTTTTGTTTATAATAGCCTTTATATGAACTCAATGACATATCCATTTAAGATGTTTATTTTATTTGAATTTACAGGAAAGCACTTGATACCATAAAGTGTATTATTACGTTTTAAATCTAAATTTGTTTTTAAACTTTTCTACTGTCAATACTATTGACAACAGTTTAATATCCAGTTCGTTTCCACTTTTACGCTGGATCCAATATAATTTGCTGCTTTCTTTGAATTTCCTTCATTGATCGTGAATCTGTCTGACTTGTAACTGCAGGACCAGGTCCTTGAACCTGCCGCAACTCCTGGACTTCACTGTGAATCGCATGAGCATGTACTACGAGAAGCGCATCTATGAGGTGTGCAACGGGCGCCTGGAGCACGCCGTCCTCAGCTGCTACGACCACCCAGGGGAGAGTCTGAGCATGGATTCAATTCTGCAGGCATGTTCAAACATGAGGGCACATGTGAAAACATAATGCCAGTTCAGAGCTGAACTCTTCACTAGTTATGCATTCTGGCAAGTGGTTCGAAGATAAGTGATGTAATAATGTTCGACTTTTAGTTAGGGTTACAAATCGTTGTTTGGTGTTGATTTCATGCTCGTCTTATAATCAGGGAGACGAAATGTTGTGCTGCATCCTTGCAATAGCTGTAATATCTGTGTAACTATTGAAACATGTATTTTGCTTGAACATTTATGAGAATGTATAGACTTGGTATATTGAACTAATAATAGATTAAACAAAAGTTATTAACATCGTAGGAAGTCAACGGTGTCATTATGTTTTATTATTTTTAGATCGGACCATCAGAGTTCCGCATGCCAAGCACCACCAAGCCCGATGTGACGTTTGTGGTGGATACAAGTGCCTCCTGCTGCAGCTGCAGTTCTGGCATCAGTGGCGGGCCTTGCAAACACCAGTATGCCGTCATGAAGAAGTTTGGCGTTCAGTGCCCCAGCTTCTTGTCTGTTTCAGCAGAAGCAAAGCAGCAGATCTACAGAATTGCCACTGGTACGTACTTGAAAGGTATAGGAAGGGCAGTATTTAAGATTCAATTGACATTAACATTGTTGGGTGACCAATCCATGTCAAATTATAGAGTTGGTATCATTGAGAATCCTGGCTTAGCATTCCACTCAGCTACCAGGTAGTGAGACCATGGGCTCATTGTATTGACTAAGATGTAAAAAAGCCATTTAATACATTCTGAATTGGCTCTCTTTCTTATGCCAGCTTGTGGAGTTACCTTTTTGAAGACTAAATGGGCACTGGATTTGCCTGCGATTTAGTCTAATCAGCTGGGTGGTGCTGTTTGGGCTTTTGACATTACGCTGGCAAACAGTGCTAAATGCTGAGACTGTCATTGATTCTGAGCACTTTTTTTCATCCCACCTATCTAGACTCTGTTGGACCTCATACCTCCATCTGTCAAACATCTCCCACATCCATCATTTCCTTACCCCAACTATTGCAACTCGCTCCCCTACAGCCTCCCAAATTACCTCATCTCCAGATTCCACATGATACAAATTGCTGCTTCCAGACCGGCACCCATTACCTACCCCACATCACAATACTTCAATCCCTCCACTGATATCCAATCCCGGATCAGGTTAAAATTAGTCCTCAAGATCCTTGTCCCTCTCCACCTCTGCCCTAATTTCACAGTACTCCCCTCTGTGTACTCTCCATTTTAGCAACCAAGGATTTATTTCGAAACCCCTCTCGTCAACTTTTGAATCAATTAGAGGTCGCAAATTTTTCCCTGATGTCACCATAGCCTGGAACTTCCTTCCCTCATTCCGTCTGGTGTTGACTCCCTGCATCTGTTTATGTCCAAGCTCAAGACCTTCCTTCTTCTCTCTGTGACTACCTCTCTTTTTAAAATATATATTCCCATCGTTTTTGTACATCATCTTCAAACGCTGTCACAGCTATATAATCCAAATTGTAATATAGGAAGGCTATAGTTTAAAATCCAGGTTAGGAGCTAACTCTACTTGTCATCCCTCAATGCCATTACAATCTTGTGGAAAGCAATAATTATATTTGTGGAAGTAAACATTTTTCATCTTATGGAAAAATCAGCCCCCACCATATGAATGTGGAATTTCATATTGTCCATTAGCTATTGGTATTGTTCATCAAAGCAAATAGTAACCTGATTTGAAAAGTTATGAATGCTTGTGATGTCACTTATAAGTTACTCCAGATGTTGCCCGGTTGCCTTAAGGAGATGCATGGTAAGAACCTGTTGGTTCGCTTTATGTATAGAGATTCATAATACAAATTCAACAAAAATATGCTTTGTAGTTAACATAACTTTGCTAAAATAGATGTGCTTAAATTTAACACTCCTATATTATCCTGATTGTCAACATCTATGATATCTCACTGCTGAATTGGTCTCAGTTTGACAAGTTTAAAACAGATGACAGGCACTCATAAGTAACATGTATTCTATATTCTTGCTATTTCAGACTAATTATTTTTCTTGTCAAGTAGGAAAAAACGCAATGTCTCGAGTACAATTGCAATATAAATCATGCAAATGGTCATCACTGCCATACCTAGCTTCCCTTTCATACAAAAAATAACTCTTTAAAAGTGATTAGATAAATACAACATTGCTTTCTTCAAAATTGTCAACTTATTTGAAATGTTTCAATGTGTTTTCTCATAACTGAACATATCCCAGCGTACTTCTATCTTTAGTGACGTGTAGCTAAATTTCATATTTATTGCTTTGTGCAGTGAGTATAAAAGTATTTTCCACATTAGAAATGTACACTTAAATAAATGTGCTCTAATGTGTTTTGCTAACACGTAAAATAGCAGATGGGCAACTGATGCATGTTGCTGCTTTTTCTACATGTGCTTAATGCACCCTGCAGACATGCTTTTAATGCATCAGCAGACTAATGCCTACTTACTGCCACAAACTGCTGATAGCAATTACAAAAAACTGAACTATTTAAAGTGAATGAGAGAGTTAAATATAATTGGTTTAGTATTGTAATAAAATCGGCAATCTGTGTTGGCAGGCAAATCATTCTGTTGAGTTGGAACAATGTATAAATTTTTCAGTAACCTATTAGCACAATGATTATCCAAATTATAGGTTGAATATTGTACTTGTATAATTTGTCACATTCTGATCTACCTGACTCTTATTTTTTTTTACCCTCTTATGCATGGGTATTCTGCATTCCTCAAATATATTCCTATTCACAATAAATGCTGAAGGAGACTGCTTGAACATCCAAAATAAAAGCTTCCTCAAAGTGTTGTTGATGGTTCAGACTGTCCTGGATAAAGGGCCATTTATGTTATGAAAGTGGTTCAAATATTCTCCACCAATTCGCAGTCCTGATTCACTGGTGCAGATTCCACATTCCTTTTTTGGTTGATTAGCCTCTGTAGTACTGCCACATTACTTCCTTCGCTCAACCCCAGAGTTGATGGGCCGAGTTGATCCTAAACTTTGATTTGAAGTGTATAGTCTTGCTCTGCCACATAATGACTGAACCATCATTATACGGTTGAGAACTCTGAATTGAAAATCAGGGTAACAAGCTTTGCATTTGTGTCCCCTACAATATCCTGTCCATTTAAACCTGCACAGCAACATACAATGGCCAATGACCTTTAATGCCTTCTGTTGCTTGCGCAGGCTGTGCTGATGTACCGCTGGAGTGTTTCACGGTCCTGCAGTCGCCCACCACGTGCCACGTGGAAACGGAGACGGCAGCGTTCGCCGAGACTCCGGACGCTTCGCCCGTGGATGGCATCAGCGTGGTGGAGATAACCCAGCCGGCGAGCCCCACCGTCGTCACGGTGGCACACGGCGAGCTGCTGCAGTTGTGCTACCAGATGTTCCTGGAGAAGTCGGGCATCATGCTGCGAGATGATCCGGTGAACGGCGGCGCCGCCCTGCAAGTGTTCCTCGAGGGTCTCTCTAACATTCACACGGGCGCCGCCATGGTGTCCGCCCTGCGCAACTTTGGCAAATTCAGCGCCGATATGTCCCAGTGGTGAAAGCTTCGGCGCTCGCCCCCCGCCCGCAGGTGTTGCGTGGTTTCAAGGGGGCTGGAGTGCGTCAGACTTCTGTGTCGAATTGGGAAGAAGATGGAGAGCTCACAACGATATTAAAATACAAGCATGGCTTTTAGTCCCATCAATAATAAAATCTCTGCCGTGTTGATTATTTGGAAGGAAGTGCGGTTATTTGTAAGGATGACTTTTGTTATTGTCATGTTTTTTAGTTATAGCTAACAACCGTTTTAGTAATGGGTTTCATTTGCATTTTAAGTGCAAGTGAAAGGCTCCCATAATGAGCTATGCTTTAGTGGTATAATTGCCTGGGTGTACAAGTTGAGTTTGCATAGCAAAGTGCTATATATGTGCTGAAATTTGTAACAAGTCATTGCTCTGAAGCACTTGTAGATTCTATTCTGTATATGCATTGGCAAGATTATTACCTAATATGTAGCCTTCGAATTGGAGGTTGAAACATTGAGAACTGGAAATTAAAAGCAATGTAGAAGCAGGCTTCCTACCATGGCCCAGAATTTGTGGTGCTAAATTTTTCGTTATTTCTTTTGTTAGCAAGCCAAGATACCAGAAACAACTGATGCCTGTAGATTTTATTTTGCATAGAGCACTAGTAACTCAGCGAAGTAGCCATGCATTGAATCCTTGATTAGAATTGGTTATCGTTACGATGTATGCATCAAATTGTGCATGAGAGAATCGGATTTACATTTTATGCCAATTTACAAATGTTACTTTCAGGATAATGACGATAACAAAACTAAAGAGACAATAATGAAAATATAGATTATTGAATCACACAACAATTCTGAATCATGACGATTCATTACGTTTCTTGGTAGGGTCTGGGGTGGTTGAGTAAATTGTGACATGTATTCTGCTAACCCAGCACAACAGTACATATGTAATTAGCTAAGAGAAGCAACTCCAGAATGATGCCAGCCTTGTCTAATCAGGTGGGAACCCTGAGTGATGGAGATCTTGATACTTTAATACGGAGTACTAATATTCATCCTGCCAGGTGATACTATGTAAACTAAAACAATTAAAACTATAGAGCTTTTATTTTAGCAGGTATAAGGTCCATTGAGCTATGTAGCTCTTTTTCAGAAGCGACCTGGCCACAAATGTTAACTCAACAAAGTGGCTTATGTGGAAATGTATACTCTTAAACTCATGTTTCCAAATGTGGAGGGAAATTTACACGACCACGTGGGGAACATGCAAACTCCAAATATATCGGGGTCGGGATTTGACCCACGACCTGTTTAGCAGGCGAGGTAGTTAATATCTCTCCACCATAGTGCCCCATGTGGTGATACGTACACTTAACTCGCAATCAAAAGGTTACGAGTACAAATCTTGGACAGAGGTTGACCTCGCCTATCATCCCTCAGGGATCATTAAAATCAGTAAATTTAGTATGGATTACATTTGTCAATCAGGACAGAATCTTTAACGCTGGTTTTAACGACATGGCACCCTTTCATAAAGTACTGTTCAGCACCCTTGTAATGGCCTGCCATATTGCGGCGCTACATATATGCTTACTGCACAATGTAATACTGTGCAAATGGCTCCCTTACAATTTTGGCAAACCAGTATTCTGTCATCAAATGTGAACCTATTATTAAGTGCGTACATCTTAAAACTTCCCTTTTACAAATATGTGGAATGGTCATGTTAGCATCATTTTTTTTTATTTGTGATGTAAGGCAATATTAATTTATACTGCTATAGGATTTTTTTGCTGGTGTTCTATTACCAACTCTACTTGTAGGAATAGCCCTCAATATTATTAGAAGTCAATGTTTTATCACCCTTGGATCGTATGTTAAATAATGAAAAAGTCTGGTTGCCTAATCAAGAGTAACAATTATTAAACGTACCATTTATGAGTAATATGTTGGGATATTTGCCATGTAGGTTTGTTTTTTGTGGACTTCAAAAGCTTTGATAAACTTAAGGTTGATAAAATCCAATACATGTACAGCATCAGAAACAATAGTGCAAAAAAAAAGTTCCACCTGTGTAAAATGCCATTTTTATTGTACTATTCTTGGAATAAAAAGTTTCAAGTTCCATATATGCTGAAATGCTCTTGAACTGCTTGTACAGGTGACCTATATTGAAGTTTACCTATAATTAATTGAAATTAAGCCAGAACGTACCTAACAAATACAAGTTAAGTCCATTTTAAATACATTTAATAACCAGCATCGCAATGGGCATCTGGGTGTTCAAGTGCTGATGAAAGCATGTGTTCATCAATTCCCCTTGACAGCATGCTTTTGTCACTTGGTAAAGCTACAACAAAAAAATTGCAGTTTTAAGAGATTCCTATTCGGGCTATGTTTGTATCTACAAAGATTGTGGTGTTGAAGATGGAGTAAAACTACATAATTGGTAACCTGTTGTAGGTAATCTTCAAAATTCTCACCTTGTGCACTCATAATTTATTTTTTATTCTCATTCTCCCCTGCTTAAGAGTTTTTGGTTTGTGTTACATTTAAGTTTTAAACGACAAAGTGGCTCATGTTCTCTTAGTCCTGCATGTCATTTGTGGGACATCAGTGGTGGTCTTAAATTGTGTGCAAACTAAGGTAGTCAAGCTGTTATTAATCATACTATAAATGAGTGCTTATGTTTTTGCATTGTACAATTTACAAAAAGCAGTTCCAAATTGATGAATAGCTGATTGCATCAAATTTGTTTGCAGAAAGGCTTATCCAATGCAAAGTGTAAATTGTAAATATATATTGTATTTTTATTATCGCTTCCACGAATACCGCTTGTCAAATTACTCACATCCCACTGGATTTTGTGTTTTCCTTAAGGAAAATAAAATATTGTCTTCATATTTTTGTTGGTTATTGTCAAAAAATCTCTTATTTTAAAATTGTCATTTTCCAAGGTTCATTGGAAGAGTAAAATACACCCCATTGTGGCTAATGTGAATGGACATTTCAAACATCAAATATTTTGAATGAATTTTTTCTACTTTAATTTACTTTAAAGATTAATATTTAGATGTAAGTAAATGGTGTAATGCTGAGCGCAGTATGGTTAACGTACTGGTAACAAGCTCTTGATTATATGGCATTGGCAAGTTGAAACAACATGTCATTGCATCTTTAAGTCCTCGTCAAAAGTGCAATCGTCCTTGCCTTAAGTGAATGATTTGACCATTATATTGTTAAATAAATCTAATTTAAACATGTTCAATTCAGACTTAAAACAGAAAATACATCCTTATAAAATGTTCAAAGAAAGTAGTTTTTTTCCTAGTTCATGTAATTGTATCACCATGCTTGACTGGTGAATTTTTTTGGACAGCATATTGACAGACCCAAGTCTCGTGGAAACATGAACATTTGTATTGTGAAATGAAGAATCAATGGCTTTTTCAATGTTGGTACACAACTTCCATGGCATTTTAACAAAGTTGTTACGAATCAAGAGTTTCCATGGCATCACTGAGAAATAAAGTTATTTACTGTAACATGTTATTTTTAATACAGACTGCATCTATACTAAGACTCGGGTGCTCCTTTGAAAATCGGAAGATTACTGTTTTTGATTAATCGCAGGTTTTTATTGTGCATTGATAAACAATTGAACGCAGGAATACCAAAATGTCAAGATTAACTGATGAGAGCTGAACACGACTATTTCTTATTTTTAGAAAACGTTGCTTTCTTACCAAATACATTGGGATACATGACTTGGTAATTATTTAATACTTGTATATGTTGGATTGCATTTAAAATTAGCACTCGTGGTGGGCCATACAGTTGATTTAGGAATGAGAAATGTGCCTGTCTCCGTGCCCTCAACTGGCTACCCATCGCCAGTCATGCCATCTACAAGATCGCCTACCTCTGCCACAATGCCTTCACATCTGCCTGCCCGCCGTACCTTTCTTCATTATTGACAACTTGCAGCTCAGCACACGGCAGATGCCTGCGCAGCGCGACTCACGGCCTATTGATACCAAGATCCAGTCTGGAACGCAATCCCTCTACACATTCGCAGCATCACCTCAATCGCCTCCAAGAGAGACTTAAAAACTCACCTCTATAACCACGTGCTTTCGAGCGAGTGAGCTTGGCTCTGCGCCTCTTGAGTTGCGGCCGTTATGTCTGCAAATTTGCGCGTGTTATAAATTGCATTATTATTTAATGATACATTTATCACCCTTTATCACAGGTATTACATGTAGCTTGTGGTGAAGGCCTTAAGAACCTGAGGCATTTAGATTCCTTTTCCCCTCTGCTTTTGGAGCAATTTAAATAATGCTGAATTGCAAACTAGCAGGAAGAAGTCGTACAGCACACAATACACAATGGTTTGCGATGCTCATGAGTAACAAATGACAAGCATTGTGGTTACGCTGTGGCACGTATAAATGTGTTTTGTTTCATGAGGATAGTGCAGCTGTAAAAAGTGAAGCCATAAGGACAGCAACGCATTTACTTCCCAATCCAGCCTGGCTGTGACCCAGTTCAGTCCATTTTAGGAACTGACGCATTGCTGCCTTAACACGAAGTGGGACGTGGGTTTAACATATTCCGTTCCGAACCCTGTACTATAACCTTCAAAGATCTTGTTGGTGAGCCTGATAATATTAGTTCACTCAAAATTATTGATTAGAAAATCTTCAAAATTCCTCAATTGCAATTTATATGTTTGTCACGTCATTAAACTTGTATACGGCTCATCGAATATTATGACTTATGAAACATTTCAATTGACAGGTCAGTTATTCTCCCACATGTGTCGTGAGTCCAACCGAGTTCCAGACGTTCTTCCTTTTATAGGCAACACATTTATTTGTAACACCGTAACACAAAGGGGTAACTGCCCCTTTACCAGATACAACCTAGGGTGGTGACCACCCAGCTAACTACACAGGGGAGTTCCTGCTACGAAGGGTCAGACCCTCACTCGGTTTCCGACCACGTGGTCCCTCGTAGGACGAAGCGCTACGAGCTTGAGACGCAGAGCATCCTGCTTGGAGAACGAAGAGACCTCGGCCCCTCTCAGGACCCGCCTTATATCCCTCTACAGTTGGGGCCGCTCCGCCCTCGGCCCCGCCCGCCTTCTCGAACATTCTCGTTCCCTCCCAACCCCTCTCAAGAGCTCTCTCTGGACACGTGATCACCCACGAGTCCCCCCCCCCCCCACCTGGGGCCCCCTGTGTGGACGTTCCTGATCACGTGTCTACGGGGTTAACCAGAGTGCCACGACCCGGGGCAACTCTGCCCCTGGGCTGACACCCCCGACCCCTCGGGGGAGCCCCCATCACACGCTGTGCGTGGTGCCCGCACTATCCCAGTGCTCGCCAAGCCCCGCTAGGGCTGGTTTTACACACAGCCACCCACGCGGTGCTGTCCACGATGTAGGAACATTTAACGGCACGACCCTTCCGGGCCGGCACCATACAGTGACATCCCCAATGGCAACATAACAGAGCCCCTTTATTTTTGTAAAACAAATTCCGAGTATATATCAATTTGTACAATGTACATTTTACACAAGCTACGTAATGGTGTCCCGGAATTTAATTTAATTGCATGTCGGCTATGGATGCAAAACAACGTTTCCTATCTGGTTAAAATTGAGCCCAATAAGATTTTTATACTACGCATCAAGCATTGAATTCCTCTTTTCATAGTGCCTGCCCATTGCTGCCTATCCACTGTTTGGTGAAGTGACCAAGAATGAACGACTGCCGATCATGAGAATATGTGCTGGCCTATGTTAGTCACGATCTGATATGGTCATGCTATGTTTGGTGAGGGACCGGAGGGTCAGAAATGCGGCGAGTTTGTGTTCACGTGACCAGAGCTGGCTTTTTCAGGTTTGGCCACACAATGCCTTTGTACCGATGACACTACAACCAACCTCCCCTTATAAAAACCCGGCAACATTCTCATCATCTTGCATCTGTGGAGAGACCTCTATCTAAAACTTAAAACGGTATTCAAAATTGTACACTTTGTTCCACTTTATTTTAAATGCTAAGCTGCAAAAATAAATGAAGTGATCCTCGTCATGTACATTTTGTATAAACGTGTGAAATATTCAAACTTAATTTCTTTTCAACCCATAAATTGTGAGTTTTAACCATGAAATCAACACACAGAGGTGCTTCCAACACCTCTTTCCATTCAATTCCCTTGAGAAAGTCCCTTGGCTGATAACCTTAAACCTAACTTTAGGTATATGGTGGTCATTTTACATGTTGAGCAGATTACATTATTAGCTAGCAGTGTTTACGTATCCCGTTTGATTCATTTTGTATGCTGAGGATACGACCGACCTTTTAAAATTATGTTACTTAATACAATTAACAGATCACTCCTTTTTACGGCTAAGTAGTATTGTCTAGTTTTGTCACCTTTGTGGTAGTGTTGTGACTATTCAATTTACTCTTCATCCCTGTACACTAGAGGCAACCAATGTTGAGATCCCACAAATTGGTACCCACTTTATCAACCCCAGAGGGATGATGGGCTGTTAAGTCTACCTATTGTGAGGACTTGAAATTCAACCTTGAAATACAATGCAGGTTGTATGGCTCGCACAGTGTGACTGCATGTCAGCTTGAGTGTCATATGATCTCGGTTCAGGCAGGCTGCACAGCTGATAATCATGTGATGTTTCTCACGGTTGCACATGCTGGTTGCGCATATTGTGTTTCACCTGTTTGAATGACCTTAGGTGTGTATCACACTCATGCCGCATCACGCTGAGACCACTATAGTCTGGAGCAAAGTAAAAATGTGCAACACAATGTATGCATTTCGTGTCTCCTGCAAGGTTCTATAATAAGATAAGTGTGTCTGTTCTCATACATAGCAACAATACCAGCATCTTAACCTAATCTTAGATATGCTACGATACAACTTGAAATACCGTGCCCTATTAGTGCGTGTATTGTTATTATCATTAAAAGCTATCTCCCAGCTCAATAAGGCATTGTTGGTGGCACTAAGCCAGTTGTGGTAATTTCCACATTCCTACGACATGGGCCAGTCTATCCCAGAAATGACCACACTTGACTTTTCACAGAAAAGGTACTCGCTTTATTGGCCAAGGATAAACTATATAGGTGTCATCGATTCCCCACTGGGATTTTAAATATTTAAAAAATGCCAATCTTAAGCTTAAACCACTGCAATAGGCAGATTATTCTATCAAAACTGCTACCCATCAAGTGTAATTAAATACACCACCTGTGACCCTATACGATTGTCAACTCGAACGTATGTCATGTCATGCCATTTTCATGCAGTATATCAAAACATGGCATTGAAAAAAGGTTATTGTAAGTGTTCAAATTTTTTAAAACATGTTCCATATATAGAAAATATTTTTTTTATAACAGCAATTAATGTTATTAAATGCACTACAGTAAATGTATATAGTATCGCTCATATTGCACTGACATAGCCATTTGATTTGAGAGGGTATTTTTTATCAAACACATTCTTATTATTCTACGAGTTGAATAGACATTTTGTGTATTATAATATTAAACACATTGGTAGACACTGGGTATAATGAGATAAGTCACATTCATACATTACTCTGTTAGCCATATACATTTTCAAACGGATTGGTAAAGTGCGTTTTACATGACATCATGCCACACATGTGGCTTCCTCTGTTTCCATACACTTTAAATGATTAACAAACACAGGTTTTTGCGTAGTCACTATAATGAAGAACACGGTATGTCCCCCCTGGTCTGTTTGCCCCCAGATGCTAAAAGCATCACAGAGGCTACACAACAACATGGTCAAACACGAGTTTTGTTAAAAATATGTAGCACGGGTCAAGGGCCAAAGCT